TACACGATGGAATCTACCTACAGCGCTAACTGTAGAATCCCTGAGGACTGCTGAAGAGGGTGATGATCTTTTTATAGCTGAGAGGGCCAGAGCTGACAATATAGGCCTTACTAAAATTGGTGACAGAGTAGTAGGAAGCTATGAAAATGAAGTTCTCGCCGTAGAATACCTGCAAAATCTTCTGCTACAAATTCAGGACCAAGCGATCAACAATAAAAGTGTTCAAATCAGTATTGAAACTAGCAGTGGTGGTTACTACTTGTCGGGTACACGTGGTTTAACTAACATGTATGCCAATGTTACAAATGTAGTAGCCAGATTATCTGATGTCAAAATGAAAGACTATGCTCTCCTTGTCAATTGTCATTTTGACAGTCATTTATTAGCACCTGGAGCTGCTGATAATGGCCTAAACTGTGCTGTGATGCTAGAAGTTTTGAGAGTATTGTCCAGAAGCAGAACCACTCTAAAATACGATGTAGTCTTTCTTTTTAATGGCGCTGAGGAAAACCCACTTCAAGGTTCACATGCATTTATCACCACCTCCAAATGGGCCAATATTGTTAAAGTTGTCTTAAACTACGATGCCGCAGGAAATGGTGGCAGAGAATCACTATTTCAAGATGGTCCAGGGAATAGTTGGTTGACGGCATACTATGCATCAGTGGTACCACATCCTTCAGGATCTTCAATACTTACAGACGTTTACGAGTCCGGCCTTATTCCGTCGAATACAGATTTTGCAATCTTCCGAAAGTTCGGCAATATACCTGGTCTTGATATGGCACACAGTTTAGGAGGATATATTTATCACACATCACTGGATGACTATCATAGGATTCCAAATGGTACTTATCAAAACACTGGGGACAATATGATGGCTCTTGTTAAGGCATTAGCCAATGCCGAAGAACTTGAAACAGCCACTGCAGCCTCAACAGGCACTGTAGTTTTCTATGACTTTTATGCGATTTTATTCATTCGATATACATGGACCGTTGGAATTATTATCAATATCCTTGTGGTATTAATCGCACTGTGTGGACCATTGCTGTTTATATACACCAGTCCGTATTTAAAGAACACTCTGGTTATGTTTACTATTAATTTTATATCGCAGCTGATAGGTATCATTTTGGGAATCGGCCTTGCTATCCTTATATGTCTAATTACAGACTGGGCTAATAAACCCATGTCTTGGTTCACTAGGCAGTGGCTACTCATTGGTCTGGTATGGACACCAACCATGATACCTATGCTGATCGTCAATGCCATCCTTGGCAGGACACCCCTTACGAAGGTGATGAGCGAGAATGTTAGTGCCTTGTACTCATTTTCATCTACTAACACATTAAACTCATCAAAGATTCATATATAATCTAATTATCTGTCGTAATAATCAATAATGCTGCATTAAACTGACAATAAATTGACTTTAATATAAGAATACACCTGCAGGAATAATGAAAAAGATAAATTATTTTCAGTCAAGGTTTGGACGTATTCAAGGGATAGTACTCCAATGCGAAGCTGTTACGGTATTGTGGTGCATCGTCTTACTGATCGGGCTCATTGCAGGTTTGAAATCTTCATATGTGTTGACGATGGTTTGTGGATTCAGCTCATCTGCTCTTCTAATATCTGCTATATTACGTTTGGAAAGACACAGTAAGATTCGTAAAAATGTTCACCGTATGCGTCAACTTTACGAATGATCTTTTAAACAATTTTTTTATTACAGCGATTTGCTGGCTTTCGGTCTACGTAGTCATAGGGCTCCTTATTCCGATTTTGTATGGGTTTTGGACCGTCAATTTTATGTCTTCAATAATATCTATAATGGGAAGAGCAGGATCACAGATCGTTCCTGATCTTTACGTATCTGCACTCTACGGTTTAATTTCCGTGATTTTCTGTAGCTTTTGGGCACCGTTGATATGCCTTTTAGAACGTCCTTGGACTCTTATAACTGGTTTTATACTTGCTACACTTATCATACTCTTTGGTGTTCTCTTCACAACTTTGGGATTCCCATACAGTGGTGAACCCACTGACCCGTCACCAGAAAGGTTCTGGCTCATTGTAAGTATTATGAGATTATTAAAAACTCATTTAAAGAATCTGCTTTCGTACTTGTTATACTTCTAGCACACTCAAAGAACTTTTCATGATATCAGTGGCAACGTCATTGCTACTGATGCAGGTTACTGGATCCTAAACCTAGATAGAAATAGTCCGAAACTGATTCAGGAAGCAGTACCAGAGTTACAAAATGCTAAAGTAGTTGATGTCAGTTGTAATAATAATATTACGTACTGCGGAATGCCCTTGTGGAAGACCAGAGATATTCCGCTTGTGTAAGCTCATTTTAATAGGTAGGTCAAAATTCGCGCCAAGTATTTAATTCATTGTGTTATTTTAGAAACAAGAGCGTTTGGGTTTCTTCAAAAGCCCCAACCATTAATCAGACTGAAGAATCAATATTAACAGCGGCTTGGAATAGTACCACTGACGAAGCTAGAAGATTGTACTTGAACGTATCGGGATCAAATCGTTTGAATCTTATTTTGGTACCTCGTGCGGGTGTAGTGCTCAACTCTTGGTCACTGCTTGACAACGTTACTACAACCATCACGTGGAATGACAGACCACTTTATTTCATTTTGCTAAGTTCAGCATCGGATCCAGCAGGTCCTTGGCAATTGTGGCTAGATATGACGGTAAGCTATTCATTGTTATTGTATTATAGCATGTAATCGAAGTCCATTAAATTTCAGGTTTCCACGGATGTGGATGCCGTTATCGATATCCTCTTCGTCAGCCATTACTTTTTATACTCAAGATTGGCGGATTTACCCTATAAATCCATTTTAAATCAATTACCACCATGGGTAGTACCACTGCATTGGACATCAACAACAAAATCATATATTTTTTGAAAAATTGTCTAAATGCAGTTTCTACCGTACTTTATTAATGGTGAAGGGAATATTGGAAAAACACTTGTGAAGTGAAAATATAAATTTTCTAAAACATAAAGAAAAAGTCTTATTATTTTATTATTTTATCGTGCAGTCAATAGTCTTTCTGTTGACATAACCATACAAAGTAAAAATTAGGTTAGTTTCCTTTGCTAGCCTATAGTTTCTGTTTCTCTTTTTTTGCTTGTTCTGCCAGAGCTTCCAAACGATCGTACTCTGCAATCAGAGCCTGAACTTCACTAGCTGGCAATATTCGTGTCTTGGTCTTACCATTTTCTCTTGTTAATGTAGCCATTTCAACTGCAAATAGGTCAGGTTAGGTTATGTCGTACTAGATTTACTGCAATACAATAATATGACACTATGTAAACAGTAAAGTTACCCTTATCAGCCGAAAGTTTATTCATATCTAAAGTTTTGGACAGGACTTTAATAGCAAGTGCCATGGCATCCTTCAAAGTAGTTTCACCTTCCTTATACTCTTGCTTCAAAGAAGACACAGCAGCAGCTGAATTATTACCAATGCAGGTAGCCTTCCAACCACCATAATTGCCACTAGGATCAGACTGATACAGCTGATACCCATAATGACGATCCCAGCCCATGTAGAGGATGGAAACACCAAAAGGTCTCTTTCCACCATACTGAGTATATGCTTGTTTTACATCACAGAGCCAAGATACAAGTTGTTCACAAGGTATAGTTTCTCCATATTGTAATAGATATCTTTGTCCAATAAGACGTAGCTCGTTCGTCAGAACATTAGCATCCGAAGTGATACCAGCAACAGAGCACACAACATCATCATTCAGCTTGTAAATCTTCTCCGAAAAGAAAACCTCATCCAGAAGTTTATTGGTATTTCTGCGTTCCGCAGCTAAGAGTATGCCATCATTAGCCAAAATACCAAGACAAGTGCCAGCATGACTTATAGCTTCCATAGCATATTCCACTTGATACAATCTGCCTTCTGGAGAGAAGATTGTTGTACGTGTATCGTACCTGCGAGCCTAAATTAGTAATTTCATGTGGATGACAGTGCATTTCCAACTTAACCTAAATCATTCCTACCAAATACTTTTATCCAGTCAAACTATATTAAAACCATCTAGTAAAATAAATAAATGTTCTTCAATTAAACTCACCATTTTGCTGAAATCTTAATAATGACTTGAGATATTTAAGAAAGATACAATTAAATATACAGCAGAGATCAAGGACTTCTCGTCTAACATAACACACATCAAAGCCGCTGTTACTAGTTCATACACACACCACACGTAGCGATAGTGTAGGATAGATTCGGAACAGGATTCGGAATCACCTGTCATTCTCGACAGCAGCGCCTCTGTTGCTCCTCAATAGGAACTAAATAGATTAACAAGTGCATTGCTTTTTTTCTTTTTCTTTTTTCTCAAAATTTCTTGCACCGGGTGCAACCGGGTGTGAGATATGGATCTACTTCCAGAAAGTTAGCCTCCTACAATAGAAATTAATATTTTTTTTAGGAATCAATTTAGCGGTCTCTCGGTGGGTGCAACCACGGTTAGATCAAACTCCATAATAACACTCCTTGAAGCTAGCGGTGGGTTTTTTAGTTTTTTTACATGTAGTCCTTGAATAGGGAGTCTTATTTTGCAGTTTTACCTATCGGTAATTTTCGTTAGTCCGTCCAAGATATTTGGTGATTTTCCATTTTTATTTTAAGCCGATAACAAATTTTTAGCAATATATCAACCCTCCCCCCCAAGACTTTTGACATTTATGCATCTTAACCAAGTAAAATTAACCAATAATGTATAACATTTAAAAAGAATACACGAATTATCTTTTCCAATGTTGCACATGATTGGTTAATTCTACGTGAATTCGTCATGCTAAACCAGTCAGTGTCACACAAGATGTACTCAGTGGGTAATTGCAAATTTGAATCGAACATAGGACACTATAGTTAAACTATATATATAAATCTGACTATCCATAAATTGAACACAGGTGATATTCGATCTACTAATCGATCACCCGGTACTATAAATACATTTAATCGAAAATGCTAATATTCACATTATGTGAATTGCAACTCAGTCGAACATTAGCGGCATTAGCAATACCTGAGGAGTAAATTGATCGACTCACCACAAGGGATCGGGTATTCTCGGTCAACCTCGGTTACATTCGTGATTATTCACATAAACACACACGTGTGTGTGTATATATATATATATACATAATATAATCCTTTGTCCGTCAACGACAAGTCGGACTTTTCAGAGCAGAAGTGGTTGGCATCAAGAGTCCTAAGGAAAGAAGTTGCGTGCGTCACGTTGTCTACAGTCTCAAAGAGTTATTAACCGCCATACTCAGTAATTTTTATCAATATTACAACTACACTAACCATTTTCGTTCTTCTGAACGTGTATCAGAAACTCTAATTACGTCAGTAGTGCATCACCGACAATGTCAAACATAAAGATTCTCTTCGTGATCACGTGTTGTATCCTGGCAGTTTCTGCATTGAGTAAGCCTATACTTTATCTTTTTGCTTTTTCACTCGTACATTTCTCTACATATATTTTTAGAAACTGTTTTTCATTCTTGGGAGGGGTTAACAATATACCTATAGTGGAATAGTTATAATTTTCCTAGTGATAAGTTCAGTTTTATCTTTTATTATCTCGTCACGATTTTTATTACTTGAATCGTTCATCGACATTTGTTGAGTGCAACTTTGACCGTTCTCGGAACTTTGTTATCTTTAACGTCTTATTAAACATAATAAATAGATGGTATTACCCTTTATCTCGAAATTTTATCTAATTGCCTGCTGCTTTAAATTCTGAATAAGATATTCGATATGAATATTAAAAATTGTGTTCACTGAGAAAATTTTTGGAATTATCTTTTGGAATACACATTAGTTATCAAAATAGTTACTTATCATCGAGGAGAGTTTAGAACCTGTTTGCGTCTATTTTATAGCAGAAATTTTATTTTGGAATAACAATGCTCTTGAGAAGCAAATACAAAACTTTGTATTTTCATGCAGTGAGATTTCTTGTATAGAAGAGATAAACTATAATTCTATTTACTTGGAATCGAACAAGCTTAAAGTTATCGTTCGCACGTGTGGTCAAATGTTATTACTCAACATTTTAATTAAAATTACATTTTAGTTTTGTTGTGCACTGTTTCTCGTTTACGTAATTTTCCTGTTTAACGCTAGATGGTATTGGTTGTTCTATTACTGGTCACCTGACTTTGAATCTGTTCAATGTCTACTTACTTCAATATAAAACTGATAGTTCACATAATTTCACTATTTCTTTTTATTACTATTAGGATTCCATACTGTTATCTTTTTTCTTACAGCACAAGTAAAATTTGTTTGTACTTATCAGTGTTTCAGGTACTCTTCATTACAATATTTAATACATATCTGTAAACTGTCTGGCATTATAATCGTTAATATATGTATAGCTGTTTTATACTTATGTAGTATACATATCCCCCAAAAAACACTTACGTGTAAAAAACAACGCCAAGTACAGGATTGCTGTGAATTCCTCTAACAAAAAGTATTGATATCATATTATTGAGGCCAAGTACATAAGTCACTACATGGTTTCCTATTATATGATCTAGCACTGGCCCATCATTTTAATTATATTTTCAATATTTCCTATAACGTTTTCGCTACTCTTCTATGTTACTACTGCTTCCCGTGTTTAATTACGATTTAATGGTGATTTAATAATTAATAAAACTGTAGGTGATTCCTTATCGAGTACTACTTGGCATGTCCGTGCCAGGAATTCCAAAGTACTTACTTTGCACGTGCTCATAGTATTCTAATACTGTATGTTTGTTATTAGGCTTTTACCGTGATTATTTTTGACAAGTTATTGTTAATATGCTTTCTATAGAAAACTGGTACTGGTTTTGTACCAAATTTATATCAAGAAATGCACGGACCCGCCAAGTAGTACTCGATAAGGAATCACCTAAAGTTTTATTAATTATTAAATCACCATTAAATCATAATTAAATACGGGAAGCAGCAGTAACATAAAAGAGTAGCGAAAACGTTATAGGAAATATTGAAAACATAATTAAAATGATGGGCCAGTACTAGATCATATAATAGGAAAACATGTAGCGACTTATGTACTTGGCCTCAATAATATGATATCAATACATTTTGTTAGAGGAATTCACAGCAATCCTGTACTTGGCAATCAAATGAATAGTCAAGAAAGTAACATGTTCGAAGACTATAAATATTTGAAAATTACATTTTGATTGCGCTAAATATGTTATTTGTTCATTCATCTAAACGTATGTACTTTATTATGTAATTCCAAATTATATTTACATAAACTTTCATTTTTTCTTTTTTCCTTTTTATAAATATTCTTCATTGCGTATTATTATTTTTTTTCATCTAATTTTTATTTACATATAAATCAGTTTTTCGTATTTCAAATTGCTAAAGATAATTCGAAGTTATTTTATATTTTGAGATGTAATCAACAAAATTTTGTATTGGCTATACCATTGGTTGCTTCTACTTGACACAAGTCTCAACTACGTGTTGTAATCAGTGCCATCTGTTATCTAAAAAAGTAGTTGGAGGTACGAAGACGACGACAATGACTGAACTGAATTAAAATCATCTCGCTCGCCATTTCAATACGCCCTGATCTCGTACACTAATCGTATTGAACTTGGTGGGAATCGCTTCAGAACCTTCAATTCCTATAGTGAATGTATCAATAACTTTTCCTCATATATAACGGTTTATAAGATATTTCGTTCTAAACACAGGTATAAGGAGTTGACTCGAGTAAAGAGTCTCGGCGCGCTGCGCCCTGTACAGCCGGTTGCCTGTACTTGGCGCGAGACTCGACCGAGTCTCTTGATATGTTTATCATTGCAATTTTCAGAATTTTGTAAACTTTGTTTATCTATCCTAAATTTCAGATTCCTTATTTGGCATATTTAGTTGCCCTGAAAGACGTGTCATTCGACTTGAAATTATAAAAACAGATAGGAAATACAAATAATCGGTCACATTTCTTCTGCAGAATGAAAATCGTTTAGTCAAACCTTCACGGTGTTCAAGGATGCCAGTAATCCGTAGATCCGGAATGAAACCTTTTCACTAACGTTTTCTATAAATTATTAGTAACTAGCACACTAAAGTACTAGTACAAACGATTTACTTACTTTTTTTTATTTTGTTAGGTAAAATATACAATCTCAATCTAAATAGATACATAAGGCAAACTTTGGAGGTCAGTGATACAACTAAAATATGAAAATCCGCATTGACCAAATTTCTCACGGTTAATGACTTTGACCAATAAGAAGTCTAATTTTCCAAAAAGTGAAACTTGAAAAGGCATCTTTAGAGTTCATCTTTATTCGAAAATAATCAAATGCATTGTACTTAATATTTGTTGAAATAAAAAATTCAGTATCTTTCTCACATAAATTATTAAATATATAAACATCAAATGGGATTGTATCGGGAGCTATGCGTCATATTTATGAAAAATTACAGTTGGTCAATTTATCTCTTCGGGCGATAAATTATGTCCTACTGAGTTATATATAGATATACATCCGGTCGCATATAATGTGATTAAATTTTGATACACTAAATATTTTATACTCCGTCACACGAACTGTTTGTTGTTTCTAATTTGATATTGAGAATCAGAATCGAAGAGATGGTAAACGTTGCAAGAACTGACACTGGTTTTGAATTACTATGACGTAACCTAGATAAAAATTTGCACATGGCAGCAGGTATCATGGTTCATGAAATAGTAGTAATCTTGTGAAAAATCAAAATTAGACAGGAAACAAAATGAAATATTTTTACGTTTGGCACGGTTCAAAAATATTTGTTAATAAATTTTCATCTGTTTAGAAAGGATATAAAGTTTCTGCGTACTAGATAACTTAAAAGAGAATTTTGATAACTGATATTACCCGCTAAACCGGAAGTAGACGTGCGATTATGTTCCCCATTTGAGAAGCATTGGCTGTGTTCAGCAAAAACAGGACTGAGGGAATAAATACATTTGATTCGTCAATTTATCATAAAACTTGTAGCAGTTGTAAGATTTGACCAATCAGAGGTTTTTCCTCTCTCAGCGCTGTATCTATAGAACGCAACCATTGACTAGGGTTGTTTCAGATATCCCACGCGCCTACTCCCAGGTTTTAAAATGTTCGCACTGCTATGTCAGTGAATTTTGAAATTGTTTTTTAAATGGTTTGATAATATCAGAGTCATAGATATTGGCGTTGTAATTATTATTCATTATTAGGTTTACATGACAAGAATAAACTACGGAAGTACAGTCTTAAGAAAAATATCCTTATTTCATATTACTTAAGCCTAATCTGTCTCATTAAAATTTCTTTATTTTTCCATAAATTCTGGTACAATGTTGACACATAGATTATCCGGCCAAAGCATGGCTGCTTTTTATTTTGCAAACTTGAAACTGAAAATGAACATGGTCAACACATGGGTTACCATTATTACATTCGCTTTCTCAAATCACTGGGAAAAAGAACAGGAGGTTATACATGGGTCCATCCTATTTCAATTAAATTTATTTAAAGTTATATATTTTTTGATGGACATTGGTTTAAATTGACCTGGATAAATACAATACAATGAAAAAGCAAAATACTGATAGTATATACTTTAACACTTTGTGAAATTGAAGTGTAGCTTTAACGTAATTTACATGTATTTCAATTTGCAGATACCGATTGCACATATGGCCCAAGTACTGGCTACGTGGACGATCTACTTCGCAAATGTCCCAGATTCACAGAATCTTCAGACAAGACATTCTGCTGTATGGACCCTAAAACAACAAATACTTATTGTTGCACCGCCGAGGAATTTGCTACGACCGTAGCGTAAGCATTGCACCAAAAATATACACAGGATCTTTGAAAAGTCTAGTATATGACCTCTCGTTATCGGTATAACGGCAATTGGTTATCATTTGAAATGAAAAATACTGGTGAAGTTCGTTATTTTTTGCAACGCTGTACGGAAAGTATACAGTTTGTGCACCAAAGAACAAGCCCAAAATGATCCATTCTTGATGAGTTCAGAGTGAACACTCTGAACTCATCAAGAATCGGCCATTTCGTGCTTCTTTTTGGTGCATATCCTGCGAACTTTCCGTACATTGTTGCCAAAAATAGTATATGATACGCGTGCGGGTTGGCGATTCCTACTCGTGTGACGTTTGCCACGATTCTGACTCGTGTCACACTCGTAGGAATCACCAACTTTCCGCACTTGTATCATAATGTACTATTACTACTGAGAATATCATATCTAAATTACACTGAATAAACGTAATGTGATTTGTAGTAATATATAAATAATCGTAACTAATTTGTTTCAGAATTGGATTCATACTACCTGCAGTTATAGCAGTGGTCGTGATAGTCTCACTGATAGTATTATGCATTTCTTGTCTGTGCTGCAGCTGTTGTCCATGGTACCGTAGACGTCACAGAGGAACCGTTTACGGCCGTAAGGAAATAATTTATTAAAATGCTTGTGTTCGTAATATATCCTCTTCTTACTGTCTATTATAACTTCACCGTTCACAGCAAATCCAAATACGTTTATCATCATTTATCATTCATCTATTAAGAAATACTTTTCGTCATTGTTTTTCAGGACCGACCATGGCTTGAGAACCTCATCAGCCTGGCATAGTTTTAAAAAACACTTCGCGATGCGCATCGTGATGTGTCACATTCCTTGTATGCTTCAAGTTTATATTGACAAAAAAAATAACATACATTCCCACATAACTGCATAGCTTTATAGAAGCTTCGAAGGAATTAGAGCGTCTTCGAGCCTACAAAAAACTAATATGTAGACTTAAGAAATAATTCCCCTTCTTTTTATAATAAAATTTTTTTTTTCTATTATTGCATATTACAACACACATGTATACGTGTGTGGAGTTAGTATTAGTACCTACATTATACAAATTTCTAAAACCGAACCAGATACTAATGAGAAGTAACAAAAAGCGCGACAGGTTCAATGTGATCGCTTACACGGATACGCCGCGTTATCGGCCGTCATCCGCGTGCCAGCATAAATTTCATTAATTCAGTATCACCCGATCTAGAGAAGTTTTGTGAATGATTTCCTTAATAATATTTTTTATATACGTATATACTAACATAAAATCTCTATGTTAAAAGTATTCCTGTATTTATATATATATATATATATGTGTGTGTGCGTGTGCTTCATTGGAATAATATATATGCACGTACATATGTATAATACTTTTAAAAGTGCGTCCGATGCAACAACTATATATACATAAAAATTGGTTTTTTAGTAATATACTTAATCGATGAGTATTATTGCGAAATTATTTTTTTTTATATTTTCCATATATACTATCAAGCGACGAATAAGAACGCAATAAAAGAATCAGATAAAAAATCAATAACTGGCCTACGAAAGACTACACCACGTTTATTTAAATACCAATCCCGTAAGATGCTAATGAACTGTTAAATTTAAATGAAAAAATAGAGCGTGCCACCTTTCTTTAAGTAATCGATGCGAACGAAAAGATTTTCAAGCCAAACAAATCTTCGAAGTAATACATGGTCGGTCGTGTATATACACAGACACTTTGTCGTTGGAGAAAATGAAAGGAAAATGTAAAAATTATTCCAAAAATAATTTCCTGGAGTCACGAGAGTCTAAGAGTATTAAATGTTTTACAGACGTACACACGACACCAGTGATTCACGTTATACAGACTCCTGCGAACAGCACCTCGCATACTGGACATTCAGTCACGAATCCTCAGTACAATGTCTATCCTAACGGAAATGTCGCTATGACAGGTGATTGATTTTTTCATATTTAAATAATGAAAATAGAGTGGGAGGATTGATATAAAGATTAGGAAAAACATAAGTGGGCTTATACCTACTTTTGTTTTTAGTGACAATTGTCTGAGATCTCTTGTTCTTTCTTTCCACAGGTACCACGCAGCCACCAGAACCCCAACAGTATACCACTGAAGCATATAATAAACAGGCGCCATACAATCCTAACTATAGGCAGTGAATAAAATGGAAAATCTAGAAAGTAGTCAATAACAAATATTAATCTCTTCGTCAGTTGTTTTTTGTTACTTTACATATTTTTTAAACGATTCTTGCCATTTTTTGTATTCTTCGTGATTTTTTCTAAACTTTATAATATTTCCATAATGAAAATTTCTCATTTTTGTTATCGTTTTTATATAAGTCAGATAAAGACTGACAGTTAAATAGGTTTTTCAATTCTCACGAGATCCAGATTATCGGCGGTAGTGCTCAAAGAAGGAGAAATAAGAAACGGTTTGCAAAACTCAATGTACTTTTGTAGAACCTATTGAATAAAGAAACTATTCTTGGATAAGTATGTATCATGGGCACGTAATACGTATATACACATTTACATATATGGGAAAATATAACGTATGTATTTAAAATCATAGGTATATCTCGTACAATATTTGCACATAATTATAATAACTGGCCCACGATTCCGCGAAAACCACGAAAGAAATAAAAGAGAATTAAGTGGACAATCGCGAAATCGTAAATGCACTCTTTAATTGTCGCTCTATTAATATCGAACCTCGTTTTTTAATCACCAGATAGATCATATCCGAGGATTAATTGCAAGAATACTTATAAGTATCCGATCTTGAGCAATCCTTGGCAAATATCTAGAGTATCATATCATATGATGACATACAGTCGAGGTTGTATGCCCAGTGTTAAATGGACAGTTTGATTAAGTGTGGAACGAGCAAGATTGTTTTTTTGATTTTTTGAGTAAATTGTTAAATATACTTGCTCAATCCTGACCCTGTATAGGCTCTTTGTGAAGTCGCAATTCATTCTACACTGACTCAATCATTGACTCGTGGTTGAAAATCTGAACGAGTAAGATGACCAATCTCTTAGGAAACTTACGAGTAATTGAGTTTAGATTTCAGGAGTTTTATCCTATGCTAAGAAATTGATGAAATTGTCTACGAGATTATACAGTCTGACTGTGGTGCTCTATTCTCGGCACCGCTTGGGAGATTACTGTAACTTCCTCGGAATCCTGGTTCGTCGTTAGACAAGGAAGACTCATGGGAGCGTTCTTCTTCTAGGGGCGCCGTCGTAGAAGTGTGACTAATTGAGGAATGTCTTGATCTTGATATGTTTCCTCTGGGATTACTTCCTGAGGATGGTGCTGGGCTTGGGGATGGTGTTGTACTATTTTCCCGTGGTACGTCTTCCAGTTTCTGTTGCTGATGTTTTGTTAATACTAATCGACTCAATAATGATACTTGACTTTGTATTGGTTTTCCCACGAGGAATGGATTATAACCCAAACTGTAATATCATAGGACCTCTGTTTAAGTTATGTAGAAAAATAATGTTATTATTAGAAATGTACTAGTGCCATTACCATTCACGATCAGACCACTTAACGAGCCCCATCAAACCATCTCTTAGATTAATGATTGAATCTAGTGTTTGCATCGGTGCATGGGCAGCTCTGGCAGTCCTCGCCAGAGCAGGTACGTCTCGAAGTATAATGGCTAGCACTGCAGCCCATCCTAGACATCCTCCTTCCAGAAACAGTTGGAGAAGATATCTGAGCTGGACCTCAGCTCTACTTACGGATCCAGAATTTGCTCCTAAAGAGGAGCTCAAAGAAGTTGAAGCTATGGGCGTATCAATGTTAGGTTCTAGCATGGGTTCTGGTGAGGCCCAACATCCTCTGCTAGTAACACCGGTACCTATTCTTGATTCCACATCATCTCTCCACACGGTAGTACTGTCGCTTAGTACACTGCTAGCATCTGAATCGTGGATAAAGATTGAGTCAGATCATGCGAATTTGAAGAGACATTCAAGACTGACCTTGGAACATGTGGGGTGTAAGTTTAGCTTCCACAGCAGGGAATTGTGTTTCCAAACTAGCTACCGGAGACACCAAACTAGTATATGGTGGTCTTCCACTTGGTAAACTGGTATAACCACTATCTGGTAGATCAACAGCAATGTTAGGACTTATTAATGTGTTAGCAAGTGTAGGTACAGCTCCAGTATCCTCCTCCTCAGGATTGTCAAAACTGACAGATTTCGTAGACTGTAATGAAATGGTGCTCATTCTACGAAATAATGTTGGATAAGGAACAGCAAAGTCCTCGTGAACGGCCTTCAGGGCAACAACATAGTCGTCTATCTTGGCAGCGCGATCGCGCTCTCTGGCGAGCCAAGTCACCAAGTGGAAATCTAATCTTGCTGCAAATCTACCTAGATCAGCTAAACGACGCGCCGATAAAAGGCGACGTGCATGTCGTTGGAGTATTACGTCAATGAAAAACTCTTCAGCGGAACCCTCTCTATGAACATATAATCTCGAGTTATCGAACGTACTTATTGAAGAATAATCAGATTAACTTACTTGCTTTCTGATGTCTTTTCGGTCTTAGCTACAACAGGTACAGACTTCTTACGTCTCATTACAACGTTTCTAGTTTTCTCCAGCATAGATGATCCCGAAGCATCCTTACTGCTTGTCTCGGACTGTGATTTAGGATTAATTGTAGTGCTGTAGCTTCTACTGCGTGATACCTGCATCGTTCCCAGAACGAGAGAGAGGTCATCTTCATGTGGAGAAACGGGTGGAGTCTGAGGAGGTCCACCAAGTTTTCCGGTACCACCCCAGGATGTTCTGGGTGATTCCACGTCATTAGGATCTTGAAATGATGTATCATATTAGAGAAAAATGGATCATGTATTTTACTACATTAACTCCAAAACGTCTTTTACCAATAGCTCTTAGAAATCGTACTAGGTCCTTCGAGAGTTCCCATCTGCCCTGTTCTAGAGCAGCATCTAGTAGTAGTGTGGCATGCTGCCTGCTGACTGAGGATGGCTCGAGATTTTGAAGTATGATCAGGTAACTAGCTGCGGTATCCAATTGTTGACGTTGTAGACAATCTTGAAGTAACTTTTTTGGCGATCCAGCAACAGAAAATAAATAAGGCCAAAGTGCAATTTCAGTTTTCCTAGCACACTGCACCACGGCTCTGGCCCAGACACCAGGAAACTCTCGAATGAATTCTACTACAGACGGTAATTGAGCATCTGGAATCGGTTCTTTGCTGGTAGCCTCTTCCTCGAGTACTTCATGAAGAAGCAATTCCAAGGAATGAGGAAAATATGAAAGAGCCGAACAGGATCTTGCAATTTCCCAGGCATGATAACCCAAATTTCTACGTATCAGTTGTCGTAGTATCTGATGCAAATATACCTGGCTCTGCAAAAGACGATCATAATTAAAAATAATACTCCCAACTAAGAATAATGGCATCTGATCTAATCAGTACTCTGTTATCAACTTACTGTCAATTCTAGTAAACTAAAAGGTAATGAGAATGGTGAGTGTGTATCTGACGTGTAAAGAACGGTGTCGTTTTCAGCGCCTAGGAGTATAGCATCCTCGAAGAGGATAGCCAATGGATAAATTCTTAAATGAAAAGGGAGCATTATCCTTTTACTCATAAAAGTATGCGCCTTGTCTTGATGATTCCTAGGAAAGAGTGGTAACCATACGCGCATTCCATGTGCACCACAAAATAACCATAAAGCTTCAGTTAAGTGTGGTTTATCTCTTCGAGACCTCCAAGGCACCCATACATTCTCCACACAGGATGCAAGAACTGTTGGTGTGCTACAGGTGTAGAGCTAAATAAAAAATTGAAAAGTTAAAAAAGTTAAAAAATTGATTCAAAAAGTATAAGAAAGTCTAATTATTTAACTAATGTAACTTACCACATCGGGATTATCCGGATTACCATGTTCACGCTGCACCATTAGAAGTCGGCCAGAAACATTTAGAAGAAGACTCTCCGGATGCGGATGACTCCCTGCTGTTTCTGCCCGGATTGTAGTCAGAGTAGCACTAACCACACATGCTGGATGAACACACAAACCACTAATGTCAACTGTCTGAATTCTAGTGAGTTCAATGGCTCCAGAACCTGTTAAAACAAAAAAGTTATATTATACAGAAAAATATCAAGACAAGAAAAGTAATTATGATGTTACCTTCAACACCTTCGACAGTCATATCATAAATTGAGATTTGTCCATTGGCACAAAAGGATAGTAGTTTCTCCTTCAGCGTATTCAAAAGTAGAACTTGCGAAGGCATTCTAAAGTTCTTGACATAACTATTATCCAGTCGTGTATCTCTGGGATAGATTCTAATTTGGTCTTTGTCTTCAAGTAACGAATAACTACCAGCAATCAAATAGCCACGATGCCATAAAAGTCCACCGGTCACTATGAAATCACGTTCTTGAGTCTCATTACCAAAAAGTTTCCATTTTCTTGACAAAAGGGAGTAATGCGCTAGACCTGTACGCCCAGCCACAGCGATACTAATACCCTCATTGTCTATTGCTGTATACTGAACCAAAAAGAAGTGTTATAAATATTGCATCTTTTATATTCGATTTCATTCCAATACTTACTCTGATTGGCCAGTTACAACCACTGTAGGCACTAGGTATTGTTACCACTAACCACTGCTTTGTACTGGCTAATGGTTGGTTAGAAATATCTAATGGTAAATCATTCACTTGATGAAAACCATAGACATTTGTCGATACCCCACCGCCTAGGTTAAGGTATAATCTATCTTCACCTTGAAGGTACAAGTTTCCATGATGGCTCTGCGTTTGTTAAATTAAATGAATTAAAAATAATTAATTTCAATTATAATTTGATGCAAAGATTAATAATAATTACCATGCATGGATTTACAGTCAATGGACTCTTGACAAAATCCATTTGTATGAGTGATCGCCTTTTACAACTGATACCATTATTGTTACCATTTTCTTCAATGGTACTGGAGCTACCAGATTCTTGTAGCATCCACAGTTGATATCCTTCTGCTGACCATTCCTTAATTGCGAGTTCTTATTAGTTATCACATTGAATATTCGTGTCAATAACTTAAACAGTCATAACATACCATTGTGTGAATATGAAGTGGATTGTCGCGAATCAGATCTGTCCTTAGACCATAATCCCATTTTAACGTGCAGAGTAGCAAAGCACCAAACACACTCCAAATTGCAAAACCACCACCTTCCCAGGCTAAGGCTATTGCACAACTATCTGGAGTCCATCTTAGACATCTAACACTACCTGGCCTACCAGGATAGTCCTTCGATGATAGGCTTAGAGTATGTGATACTTCCAGACTGCCTGTACTTTCATCCACATAATATACAGCACCCTCCGAACTGCATGAAGTAAATTAACAGATACATTGACTGGTGCATAGAAAAGATAATTCATTTATAGATTAAAAACCACATAGCTGCTGACTTACTTTTGTCTACCAAATGCTATAAGACGATACTTATGATTAACTGCAGCACACGTGGCATCTTCTAGATCCCGAGCCCATATTCCTTGGACTTGCTGGAATAATACAGATGGTGAACGTTGAACTCCTGGTTCAAGACAGCTTCGAGTATGATACTTACATTAGGGTCAAATTTCAAAGACTCTGCAGTGAGAAAAGCAGCTTTGCCATTGTTTAGAACCACAGCAAAACCACCAATAGGTGGAGAGTATTCAATATCCGCTACATAAACGTTGTTTTCTGCTATGGGTAATGCGGTAGTAGAAACTTGTTGATCTACACTAAAAGGAATTCGCCGGAGATCCAATGAATAGTCTCTATTAGCTAATCCATCCCATTTATGTCGGACTACATGACTTGTTTTGGTGGCTATCATGAGTTCATCGCGGATACATACCAAAGAGCTGATACCACCATCGATCCATACTGATTTTTCCTATGTAAAGCCAAATTTTAAAATAACAAAGATGTTTAAACATATATTTAATGGATACATGAGTGAACTTACAAATGACAAAAACAATGTTGGTATAATTTCTTTAATGAAGAGTTCAGCACTGTCCCTTCTCAGACTGCTCACAGGAGAATCTTTCTGCTCATATAAACTGTGACCTTCTGCACCACCATCAAAGAGTCGATAAAAGAGAAGATAACTGTCAGTAGTCTAAATAAAATCCCCATAAAACCATTATATAACTTAATTCACAAGAATTAGTGCTTCCATCAATATCAAACTAATAAATTCCTTAATTTAATCACCGTGACCACCAGCATGCTGGAATCTGGACGCCACTGAACTAGAGTATTGTCACCATGCTTTCTTAGAGAGTCTGCATTACGTCTATTAAATACGATAGGTACACAGGGCTAGAATAAAAAAACCATATGTGGATAATGATATTCAAAATTTAAGTAGCATTCTATAATACATATCACGCACCTTACAAAACCATATGGCCAGAGCATCAGTAGTAAGAATAGCAAAGAGCTTTTTATCTCTGTTGCAAACTATTGCACGAATATTTTCAGGATCTGTTGAGTTCAGTACTCGAGGCCATCCAATAGGGAAAAACATAATGACCCAGTATCAAGTAATAAAGCTTCAATGACATAGAATTCAGTACTTCCCAGGAGATGAGATTATATCCATATTGTAGAACTAGAATTTTCCTAGGCCGTGTAGACAAACTAGTATAAACGGAAGCACTGACAAGTAAACAGGACACCTAACCTATACGATTTGATAAAAATTACTGACGTTCTGGTATCTACTAGGCATCACAAATCAGATAACAATGCATTTCTAGGGTTTCTTTTGTAGTTAAATAAACTTCTTACAACATATAAATATGTAAATTTGGCGAACATAAATACATTAATCGTAACTATCCGTTACCACGTCAAATTCTACACACAAAAGCCATGGTCTGATGGACGTTGGAGTTCCATGCCCTCAAAATATGTACTAGATACATGTACTAAAACATAACAGAATTCAGCAGTAGCAAGCAGTAGAGTGACAAGTATATAGTATTGCGTAGACGCAAAACGCATATGTATGTACGAGTTCAGTTACGTTCACGGAATCTTTTCTATAGAGATTCTATCTCCTAGTTACACCTTCTCGTGGCCTTCTCCTCGAGGTCTAGGTCAGGGATTAGGGGTAACTTAACCTAATTTTCATTAAATATAATTAATGCATGTATATATATTTTTTTGAACAGTATAAACCACACGATAGAGGTTTTGTACTAACTATACATTGTTTAATCAAATAGAAAATTTGAAAGGAATAAATAAACCTGATGTGAATAAATAACAATAACTTCCTGGTACTCGCATAATCATAAACAAAGAAATAATTCTGATCTTAGTACCTTCTAAAGAACTCACTAGGTGAAATAAATAAGTTAAATCTAACAAGTCATTCCATCAATAGGATTTGCTGCAGGTACAGCATTTGTAATAGGTGGTAGGGTCGTAACTTGATGAAGGTGATGGTTTATTTTTGTTTGGAGTGGTCTTCCAAAACCACGAGTACCATCAGGACCTGATGGCATCCTAGTTATATTTTCAGGTAAGTGGGCCATTACCAAACCACTGTTACTCCTAGATCTTACAAAGAAGCCACTTTCTGAACCAGAAGAAGAACATGAAGAGAATCTTCTAGTTGTTGCATCAAAACCTGAATCGCGACTACAGGCAGATAGTCTGCGGAGGAATGGTCCACAGTCTGCAGATCCTCGTCTTCCTGGATTGAATCCTGTACCACCATTACAGTCAGGAAAATTAGTAGTGCCAGTAGCTGGACAGCATGATGATCTCCTACTTTGAGGATAGTATGGTGAAGAATACATATGATGATAGTAGTTCCCATTTTCGGAACCTGATGAACATGTTGAGAACCTTCTGCTAAAACTTCCAGTATCTGATCCTGAGCCAGAACATGAGGATAGCCTACGAAGTATGTAACCATTTTCTGATCCAGACATGGAACATGAAGACAGTCTACGAGAAAGCCAGGCTTCTGGGGAAGGTGGACCTGAATAACAATAAAACATAGTTGCAAAATACAAATTGTACAAACACCAAGATGGAAGTGGAATATGAAACATTGAGATCTTCACTTTGATAAGCGTGTCCCGGATACATGGGATAAACTGGATGATTGTGAATGGGTCTCCTATGTCGGGTTCTACTATCTTCAGCTTCAGAACCACTGGCACAACTTGAAGAATGACAGGCCTCTTCTCTGGCTAGTCTAGCCACGGTATTTTTCTTCGTTGATGAGGTTTGCTGTTTCTTCTTCTTATCACTAGGTTGTTGCAGTTCATAAATCCTGGCATCACCAAAGTCCATCCTAAGAGCCGCTCGCGCAGACGCAGAATCCGTGAACTCAACAAGCGCGCATTCTTCACTAGACGCCAATTCTGGTCTCTTGGCGATGGCTTGGCGCACCTGGAAGATTAAACATCTTTATACGTCCTATAAAAGACCTACGAATCCGTTAAATTCTCAATTAAAATTTTGGAAACTGACCTCAGCAGGTGCTGGGTGACCTGGTCTGAGTATCCTGATCAGTGCAATTTCACCACATGGTCTAAAGAGTTCAGCAACAGCTTCTACAGAAAGTTTTTCAACGGGTAGTCTAGCAGCTAATACCGTCCTTGAAGGAGCCGTCTGATCGAATGGCGGTAACGGATCCAATCTTCTAAGTTTGGTCCCTGGTTCATTCACCTCAAGCTTCTTAGACCTAGCGAGAGCAGCACCAACAACACGCCAATCCCTGCTAAGGTGTTTGACTCTCTTGAAGCTAGAGATGAGCTTCAGCGAAACATAACCTTCTTTGTTTCTCTTTACATGCTTTAGAAGAAACGCATCTTTGACAATATTTTCATCACTGAAGTAGAACTCAACCTGGGCGCAAATCTTATCGGCAAGTTCATCACTGGGCGGTATGAATTCCTCATCTGCAGGTGCCTGACCTTGACTCTCTTTAGCAGTGATCTTTTCACTATTATCAGGAACTTCACCAGGAGTACGTGCCACAATATCTTCAAAAGATACGGTACCCTCGTCCACTACTCTCTTCTCAGATATCTTATTTTCAGAATCTGAACTTGCGCTGTCAGAAAGATCGGCTTCTTCACCTCGTGATCCTCTGCGGTCAAAAGTCAGACTCAGATCACTATCCACAGACGATATACTATCCCGGGTATCGGACTTCTTCATCGGCGGCGGTGTAAATGTCAATTTACCCAGCCTGTCTCGTGATTCCTGCTGTACTTCAAGTTCTTCCATGCTATTTAATGAAAAGTACCGGGTTCCGCCTAAAAACGTTCCAGCGCCAGGAATTCAATTAACATTAAAACACAAATAGTACTTCGTAGCCGGGACAACAAGATAGACTAATTGCAAATTACACCTGGTACCTGGATCTTGTCATCGGGTATATCCCGATCGATTTCGGTACCTTACAACAAGTCACGTTACACTAACGTCGTGCAGACGGAGTTCATCGATCGCGACCTGTTCAAAACCGAGCACTGAATTCGACTGGCACTTCTGTACTTCTGTCGCTAGTAGATATTAGCGCACTACCTTAGCAGAGCGCGGTAATGATTGTCAGGGTGGGAGTAGTTCACCAGGACTCTTCGAGGAGTGCTGTATATACTGTATTAAAACTGTATTACTACTCTCACTATTAAATGGTTCAGTCAGTCAGTTACTATATGTATCAGCGTGTAGACGTGTAAAAGTGTATTTAACTAATGCATACGAGCAAGCAATGTGTAATATATGCAGTGAAAGGAAACATACATATCTATGTGATTATACACTAATATTACTTATTGTGCGTGTGCTATCAAAGATATCTACGTACACGCACGAAGGTGCATGTATCATGTATTGCTTATGAATAACCAGTGTGTATTAGTGTACAGATATATACCTATCTATATGTACTGATATAATATGTAGGTGACAGTTTACAGAGCAAGTGGCCTTCTCGAAGGCCCGTTGACTTCTTAAATACTTTCGCCGCCAATCTGGCCCACGCCTGCGCTTACTTCTCTTACGATATTCGAAGGTCCCAGAATATCTGCGTGGGCACCATACGCAGGAGACACAATGATGAAGATGATGTAGCTGCACACGGTGTATATCCTGGGGAATTATCACGCAATTTTCAACAACCTTTTCCAGGTATCCCGACAAATTTGCGGAAGGGACGGTCACCGACACGACGTAGGTCGATCTTGTGATACAAGGCCGTTGTCGTCGTCATTGGAAATGGCGTTCGCCACCTTAATCAAGTGTTGCAAGACAATCGCCGAGGAAGTGAGGAAGGAAGGATGCTAAGGATTGGAATACTTTTGTTTTATTGTCTGTTTATATTCTAGACGGACAGGAGTATTCTTGACCTTTGCGTACGACCTCCAGGTCCTCATCCCGACCCTGTTCTCGTTCCTGGCCTATCGCATCCGGACGCCACAAGCATAACAAGATATGGGTCAAGTGCGGCAGGTACCGAGCAACTTGACTTATACTTATATGGTGGGAAAAAGAAGATGGCCACGTCGATTCGATTGTTTCTTATATACCTATTATGAAGATGATACACACAATCGGTTTTCATATATCTATATCGTGTTCATACGCTAAATATATACTATAAGAGAAGATGATTATCAACACGTTCAACGTAGATGAGTAATGTATACTAAAAGTTTATCTTCATGCAATATTGGATTTAACTTTTGCGTAAAACCATTTTAATCCGCCTGACACTTTTTTCAGTGAATGCTATATGGCTTCCCTATGCGATGTTGTTATGTAAGCAGAGAGCCCTTTCGTGTCTTCCTAAGCAGGTATATTTTACGTGGGATATCGGTATAGGTTTCAGTTCCATATATACATCCCTGGCACTTTACAGGAATTGTTTATTCGCCATGCAATAACGGATTAATGAAAAGTCATTGCCGTTCCTAAAAAATGATTATTAAGTGACCTCGCACTTAACCGTGCACGGCTGATTTCAAGTAGATAAATAAGATAGATCTTGTATCAACAGCAAGTGGAAAGAAACACTAAAATATTCATTCTTTAGAATGCGAGTTGACAGTGATAACATTTAAATGTAAATTATCTTGGATTTAATGATTTTTCTTTGAAAATAAGTTTCAATCTGTTAATCAGGATGCTAACCTTGTGTGTTTCCATAGAATTTGGCAAGTTTGAATTCAGCATATATACGTGAGATAAACAAGTCCACGTGCAGGACGCATTAATGCTGTCTCTATAGTGAAAAACTTTACATGAAAGGTAACAGACATCTATAAGAATAGTGAGAAACATTCAACTTCCTAAAGATATTCTTGATGGTCAATTGTGCAATTTCTATTGCAAAAAAAAATTTATTAAAAATTATTATTAGATGTTGCGTCAATATGATTTTACTAATTCTTAATTCATCCCACTAGGAACTGAAATATTTTTATATCACGGTACACCCTGTACCCTGGTATCATTCAAGAAACTCAGGTATTACTACACTGTATATATTATATGCTACGCATCACCTACGCTCAGATACCCAGAGAGAGTGAAATTAATATCGAAAGCGAATCGGAGCACTGTGGCCCGTAGAAAGGACGTCGTCTCCGGGAAGAGAACGTGGCCACGGCCACTGTCATTTTTGTCGTTGAATATCAATACACGTGTCCGCCTTATAGAGAAAGACACGGCATCTCATTTGTACACTACAGAAGTTCCTTCGTTAATCAAGTAATCATCTTTCTATAAGGAGCTAATAAATGGTTTAGTGAAACACTGTTGAATCGACGAGGAGCATTGTACATCTTTGTCGGAATTTAGAAGTTACAGGTTTGTGTAGTTTTCATTCTAGTGCTTACTATACACAACTACGTTAGGTTGAATATTCTTGTGCTATTCTTGCAGGAGACAGGAGTTGGGGCTCGAACTAGGTCAGGGCAGTCGCCCGCAAAACGATCGGATCAAATTGATTCTCAAATTGAAAGAAAAAGTCTAACGAGCACCAATTCATTGGGTTGATGGATGATCAACTTTTTTTATAATAATTTTTTTTAATTTTCCTAACGAGCCATGGATTCTACTACCATTGTGCTAAGTTGAATAGGTCAATGTCAAATCAGTACAGTACCGGTCTTCAGGAACGACTATCGTAGCGGTACTCTTGGGGTTGCTATAGTTGTTAAGATAGATTATGACAAGTGCATAAAAAATACAGTTTCCGTAGGAGGAATTGATAAAAAAATGGAACAAAATTTATATTGAGAATCACTGACAGAGAAATACAATCGTGAGTCAGGCGTACACTAAAGGCTTGTATAAAGGCCCCAGGGTGATTCGCCAGGATGACCATGACCATATTACCGGACAGAGGCCCGCCATGCCTTGAGGCTTTTAATGTTGGTTAGTTCATACAGACGATAAATGGCCCTCGCGAGGTATTACTTCGAAACCCGTTCACTACTCTCCATATTTATTAGAAGAATCGATAAATATGCAATTACATTGATGGATATAACTATTTTGACGTTGCAATTGTTTACTTGCATAATAGAAATAAACACGGAACGTTATTTATGATCGTGGGATCGGTGCTCGAGTTGTTAATAATTTAAATAGAATTATTATAGCGACAGCTGTGCAGTATCGCATTAAAGTCATGACGAACTTTCCATCTATAAGCTCATTATGAAAAGTGTTTTTGAAAAACTAACCATCCACCTGCTGACCTGCATTTGGAAATCGAAAAAAAAAAAATAGTAAAACATCTTCCTCTGTACCCGACGTGCAAACGAATTTATCGATAACTATTAACTAGCCCGCGGCTTTAATGGTGAACGTAAGAACTTGTGCAACATAACATTACTTGAAATTCTAATCTTGATCGCGAGTTACCCGAGTGAGCGCATGATCCTCGTCTGCGCCAGGTTGGCCAAAATTACATATTCCATTCCGTCTTTGAGTCCCAATTTGAAATTTCGATCACGAATCTCTCGCGGGCCTCTTTGTCATGTATTGTCGTAATCGTGAAAGCAGCCATTATTATTGAGCAGTCACTCAACGAAACACGTATCCGGCATTTGGGTCCTCCTCAAACCACATAGTAACATACCGAACGCGAGGAAATACCAGGCTAGCCATGACTACGATTGATCAAACTTATTGAAAACGTAAAAGTTTATCACTTGCGTCAAAAGTAAGCGAAATGCGTCACACTAGCGCATTATCTGTTTAAATTCGTAACGTGAAAATATTAACAATAATGTATGAAACTGTCATTTACACTGTTGCTGATTAGAATCTGAAATTTTAAAATTATCTCAGATATACTCAGCATAGGCATGAAATAACTCAGGATACGAGTTAATTGCTCCATTCGCAAGGATTACAGTAAATAACTCAGTGTTCAATCAGTCAAGAAATATCAATAAGACAACTATTTGACAGGGTTGCGACAATGTATGTATAATACGCGTACCCAATCTTTAAGGTCACCTGTATATATATAAGTCTCACAATTATCAACTTTATGCAGGTTGGATCATTCGAGATCGGTAGTAAGGTCAAAAAAAGGAAGGGGGTTGGAAACGGGGAGGCGGTTAAAGGAAAAGGTCGGTACCTTCGAAATAATCGGTAAAGGTAAAGGCAACGGTGGCCTCATTTGAGGTCAACCTCTAGAGTGTGGAGCATTTACTAGGAATCCTTCCATAAGTATTATTAGGAAGGTAAAGGCGATCGGGTGTTCGTGGTCTCTAAGGTCAACTGGCACTCACGGAGACAGTATATTCATTTAGCCTCAGGCCAGGAACTTACTTTGGATCCCTTGACCCAGTATAGATTGATCATACAGCCATCGCACATTAGACACGAGACTTGGAACCTGAGTCTGGAGACATCAGACCTAAGAGAACAGATACACCACCCATTATACCTGAGACAGCGTACAAGAACTAAGTCTAGTGAAGTCATAAAAACAATGAGAATGTCTGAAAAAAAATTTGATCCATAAATCCACTGTACGAGAACAAAGAAGAAAAAAGGTGGCGGATAAAAATTGAAACTTTTTTTTTTCATTGCACTTGGAAAAACTTTTAAATAGGTGTAACGACCGGTTAACCTTCAATATTTTCTGAACGGACATTATATTCATACGTATATACATACTGTTGTACGTGTAATGTGTGATGCGGTCCTGAATGAAATTAGTATACTATTAAAATTTGCCGCCACGATTCGTTAGATTTTGCTAAAAACACCAGTTATAGTAATAAAGACTCTTTTTCTGTTCTATTTCTAATATCCCATAGCGACGCAATAAAGGTTTCCGTGAAATATATTTTTAGCCAAGTTATTTGCCAAGAGATACAGATGAAATACGTACCAGGATGTGCGAACGACTTTCCTGACTTCTACTGAGTAATTAATAATTAATGATAATAATAATACATAATACAGTAGCATAACAGATTAATATGTATATCGTACTTATATTATGTATGTATTCCCATAATACGTATTGTGATGATTTCACCTGACAGTAAAGGAACACACGTACGTAGTAATGGTGGTTGTAATTGATGGTGAGGCACGCGAGGTAACGCAATCACGTTAATTAATTCACAAAACGGATATGATAATTAATGCTTATAATTAAGAAATAGTAACATGAGGATTTGTCTCCCAAAGGACGCCACACTGCATACTCAGCCATCGATATTCGCGATAGGTAAATCAGAGTTTATGATTAAATAAAATTCTCTTTGGAATTTTTTTTTATATAACCACGTTACAGTGGAACGATTGTTTATGAATATTCCTATACGTGTTTTAGGTAGTGCATATATGTATATATATGTCCTTTATGTGAATTACCTAATTCACTGCACGTGTGCGTATGCGTATCTAAATTCATAGAAAATCTCATTCGGTGCGTTGCTCTACATGTGTGAACGACGTTACATAATTATCGCGATGCAGTATACATATACTTGTACATACAGTACGTATCCATATCTGGTTACGTGCTTATATGTATAATATGTATCCGTAGATATGCGCAAATATATTGTATATACCACGGACGACTTAGCTAATGGTAAAACCAATCACTCTGATTCATTGACAAAAAAATGTCCATAGAAAAGTTTTATAAGATAAGTCACTGTGAATCGACCATCAATTTTACGAAAAAAATGCGAAAGAAATTTAAAAAAAAGAATTGCTTGATTCGTAACATCTTTTCAAACCTTGTTTACAGCCAATCCCAGTTTACGATGAAATCAGAACAGACTGAAGCACGGATCACATATGTGTCTAACGTACGAGAGATCGGTAAAGCGCTGATCAAATACGGTTGGCTAATTTGACATCACCATTGTCTCCATCTATCGCGAAACATCTGCAACGAATGCGGGAAATGACCGATAATTGAACGACTCAAGTAATTATCGATAATTGATTTGATGTGAAATAAAAAGAAAAGAAACTTCACTGATGTCACACTTTGTTTTCTTCTATTTGTCAGATTCTTTTTTTCAAACGATTAAATGTTAATACAATATTTCATATCAATGCCAACATCCTCTGGCAAGAAGTTCGATGCTCGTTATGGTCGGGATTATGTTTGTTGTTGATTCTATCGAAATTTTGAATGATAAGCACGTGTTTCTTTTCCTCTTTTTATGTAACGTTTATCGACACGAAATGAAATACGTACAAGTTTTGAAAGTTTATACTATGCGAGCTTGCACACGCGTGAATTATCATCATTTAATATATAATCATTATTCACTTTTACACCTGTACATTATTAGTGGTAACAATATGCTTCTATAATATCTAAAAACAGTCTCACGCTATACGTACGCATGCATATCTGTAATATACATGATACGTATATGTAATCTCGAGTATCTCATTCGTAACCTATATGCATATGCATATAAGAGAGTCACGGGATGAAATCTAGTGTCACTCTCCTTAAACCATTCTCTATTTAATATATACATACATATAACAAGACAATAACATTAATCATAATGCCAAGAGAAAGAAAAATTAATACCAAACTCAACGTACGCAAACGGCACTTTTCTATGTCAATTTGTCACGTCCTCAAAAAGTCTAATGATTTCAACTTTTTCTTTTTTCCAGTACCTTTAAACCGTCCAATACTGCTGAAATTCGTTCCGACTACCGGAACGGGTCACAAGCTTCAAATAAAAATGTCGTCTAGTAACGATTCCAAGTAAAACAAAGTAAAGAAAATGAAGAAATGTAAAGCAAACACTTTCGCAGATGCGATCTCAGCCATGCAAAAAAGTGAGAAATGTACAGAATTGAGTATAGCTATACGTATTCTGCCCTAAACTCCTAGAGTACTTGTAATATCAAGAGTGCCTGAGTATTTTCGTTACAGACTCGTGTGATGTATTGTGTTCCCCTCCCGCTCTCCGCCATTCTCGTTATGAATTCAAAAACTCTAAGTCCCATCCCCACCCCTCGTGCAAGGACGTTCGTCCAAGGATTCACGATTTCACGCGTCGATTTGGGTGGTTTTCCCATATTTTATATTTAAGAATAAAAAAAGATCGAAAAAGAGAAAGAGAACTCATAGATGGCGTTTAGATGTCCCTACGACAAAATACTGAATATATCTTATCAGCGTACTATCCCATCTCTAATGTCCTGGCATCAATGATAATAAAATAGCCACATAGCAATTGGTCCTTGATCCTTGATCCTTGGGCCGGTAAAGTTAATGTATGTGTGTATGTATATATATGCATATATACATATATGCAGGATTTGTATACATATCTGTATGTGTGTATTATCATGATGTATGGGTACACGTATCCAATTGCGAATCATAAATAAAAGTTGTGACACAAATACCTTCGATTGCACCCTGCTCGATAATTATATATATACACACACGTACATATATACCCCGTTTTCAGCTCAAATGCACTATTTGAAGTTAGCGCCCTTATTTGATTCTTTTAGTAAAACTACCCGACAAGCACGTAAAAGCGTGCTAGTATTGCGTATTTTCTGGCCCACTACACCTAACAATGTACCAGTAACTGTTGAATACTAGACCACTTTTATGTGGATGCTAAACATGATCAAGTGGTGCCTTTAGACTGAATAACCGGGTACATGTATGTACGGTGTGTGTGTGTATACATATATATGTGCATTATGTATAAGTGTCCTGTATTATAGGAAACTATTTATCCGGTTTTACACGGTAAATCCGCGAAGGATAACAATCTCAGTTTATCATTGTTTTTTGTCTTTCTTTAATAGATTAATGATACTCTTTTGTTTTTTTTAACGATTCTTAACTTGTCACCCTTCGTGCGCCAGTATATCTTTTGTCTTTAACTCGATAGCAATATCACGAACAGTATTAATGAATCTTTCATATCAATAGCTTCTTCAATAGTAATAATATTAATAATAATAGTAATAACGATATAATAACGATAATAGTAGTGTCGGTGTAGTGTCTGTGTTTTATAATAATAATATTAATAATATATGTATAGCTTACAATTATTACATAGTAGTATTATAATTAGCAATAGTTATTAATTTGTTTTTCACAAATATATATATATATGTATATATATATATATATATATAAATACATATACACATAAGTTCTTTTTTTCGTAATTTTCTCTCACAAGTTTTTTCTTCGTCTTTTTTTTCTTCTCTTTTAACTTTGTGATGTTTCCGATTGATGAGAATGATGAGAAATTCGCACTATATATATATAATGTAATAGCAATAATAACAATAGGAGTATGACTATACTTGGTAATCGGAACGATTACCGTGAATTATCAATGATTAATAACAATAATACTTAGTTATGAGTATGAGAAAAAGGATGTTGCTGATATAATAGGATAATGATGATCACGATGACAGCTTATTTCAGATTCTAATTATGGTGTACGGTATTTTAATATACATTAAATAAAAAAGTGACGGGCAATCAATTCGTACGAGAAAGGAGGGATTCCTTTGCGTTTTTTTTTCCAAATGTTTTCCCCTTCTCTCTTTTTTAGTTTGTCTTTCAAAGTAAGCGAGGAAGAAGAACAAGAAGAGATAAACACCGATCTCGCGACGTTACGATCGGCATGACCGATAATGATCGATTAAATCATCGATCGGCCGGATTAATTAAATCATCGATTACGCGTGGTATTATTCTATCGTTTACCGATTATTTAACATTATTATTATCATTTGTCCGATCGACTCGTATATTAATATATATGTATGTTTGTGTTTACGGATTACACGCAAAAGCAGGTAATACTAATCGGATCGTGCCGATCGCACAGATAACCTACATATTCTGAACACGATTTTCTTTGGGATTTTTCTTCGTTTTCTTTCTCTTTATTGTTGTACCGTTGCGTCAGGGAACCGTGATGCAAATTACGATTGCATGTTTTAAGCGGTCAATTCGAGTATCCTTTCTGACAGTAGTACGTTCTTTTCCGTTTCATTCTTTTTTATCGGTAAAACGATGAGAGAATGCACTTTTTCATTAGATTTTTGTTGTAGAAGTCAACATCCGGTAAACAAGGTCGCAATCGTCACGCGTACACTTTGTTGTCAATGTATTTTTCTAACGACGCTACGAGAATTATATGAAATTATTATTGCAAAAATCCATAACGGATTTGCTTTTAGCATTTGCTACGAGAAAAACAAGAAAATGAAATAAAAAAAGCTGATAGAAATGATTTCTTAGAAGCATACGCAACGGATCCTCTTATCGGCTGTTTTTGACTTTGATTATCTTCGAACTTCGCACGTAGTATCGCAAACAAAAAATTACATGAAAGAACAAAAAACGAAATTTGCAGATTACATGCGCATTATCCTCTTATAACGTAACGAAGATCGATCTTAATACAAGGAGGAAGATAAGTTGAAATCAAAATGATAAAATAAAAAATGTAAAATAAAAAAGGCGATTAAAATATCCGATTAAATTGTATGGACTTTCTCCCTTCTTCTCTTCACGGAATACATACTTTTTAAGATTTTAATAATTATAGTCGTTATTGATATTTAATATACGTCACTGCATTTTTTTTTCATCCAAGTAATTCATCTCTCTCATTCGCATGTTTTTTCCCCATCTTTTTAATATTTTCATTTCGTTCTTTTGCTATCACTCTTACTCCATTTATATTTTCAATTAGCTTTGGTTTATTTCTTTTATGAAAAACAGGTCGATACAGGATGATTTCGTTTTAATATAATTATCTTTGTTTCGTTTTTCTTGCACTGTTCTTCCCTCTTCGTTGCCATTAGAAGGTCAATAGCTCGCATATGGAATGTTCGTATACAAAAGCTTTGTTCTATGATGTTATACTCGATAACCTTTCATTTGTCGTTTCGTGGTAAAATAAGATTGACTTCTCTAAGCGCATCTTCTTCAATTATATTATATATTATATTTTACCAGACTTATCTTGCCTGCTCAACTCCAGGGCAAGAGCCAAATCGGCTTCCTCTTGTTCTTTACGTCGACGTCTTTCCTCTTCGGCTTGCAAGCTCTGTTGCGAAGCCCAAGCTATTTGCTGCATCTCGTTAAGTTCCACAGCCGAGACAGCGATCTTGCCATTCCACGTTTTACTGCCAATATTGTGATGATTATTATTGTTGGAATTATTACTGTTTGCGTTGTTCTTCTGTTTGCGATCTCCAAATGTCAATTTATCTTTGATGGCGTGAGCCAGGTCTAGGCTTGATTTTTTCGTGACCTTATCGGCTTTTCCAGAGAAGGCTTCATCAATATCGGCAGTCTTAGACTTGGTTGTGGCTGGTGCAAAGTTGTTCGCGAAATCTGCTTCAAATGTTTTGAGGTTGCGGTTCGAGTCAGAAAAGGCCTTGCTGAAGTCTGCCTCGAATTTACCGCTAACATTTTTGTCGGCTCTCGTTCTGGAAGCCATTGGGAAGGTGTTTGTTGAGAAGTCTGAGTCAAAACCTTTGGTAAAGGCATCCTTATCGCTAAACTCTGCCTCGAATCCGAAAGGATCCAGCTTTCCAGTGTTTTTCTTGTTCGCGTTGTTGTCTTCAGTGGTAGTCGTAGTGTCTTCGGCAAATGGATCCATAATATTGAACGGATCCTCATAGCGATAATCTCGGAAAGGATCTTCCGTAAAGTCTGGCAACTTAGGCGTGGGGGTAGGCGTTGGCGTTGGATTCGGCGTCGTCATACCTCGGGGTCTGCTTCCTGGTCTTGGTGGCACCAGTCGACTTGGTATTGGTTCCGGCTGAAGCAGGGTTTTTGTCACGAGTCAATTTTGTGTTTACTGAAAAATTCAACAGAAACAAACGCGGATACCGCCGGTTATCTTCTGCATCCTGAGGTCACCCCGGATCTGTTGCTGTTTTCTGTAATAGTCACTTAATAGCTAAGGTAATAAAAGGAGAAAAAAACAAATACATTAAAAAAACATCCAACAAAATCAAAATGAAGTGCAATGTGATACACGTCGAGGAATGCAAATAAATTCAGTCAGGAATACGTAGACTGCATGCTCCAGGAGTCAGGATCATTCGGAGGCGTAACGAGAAACTGAAAAACGTAGAGCGTCTACCTAGAGGTGCAAACTAAAAAATAAAAGAAATGTGTAATTAAATTCAATGTGTAATAACTTGAGACTAAAGAGATGACCCTGGTTGAACTATGCAGAGGTCATCTGAAAAAAAACTTAGCGATGATGAGAGGTTAGCCTCTCGTCGCATCTATGTTGTAGCATGGACTGCATGTATAATTATATTCCAAAGGTATGTCTGTGTCCGTGTTCGATTGTTTTGTTTCTGTTTCTCTCATTATATTTTGAACTAACCTTGGAATCGAAATTTGCAAAATCGGCAAAGCCACCGCTTGACGGGCCAAAGGTTGCGTTGCCGTTATTATTATCAACGGTGCTAGGCTGGTTCTGCGCTCCGAAGGGATCTGCCGAATTCGCATTGGCAAAGGGATCCGGGGTTGGTGAAGGTGTTGGTGTCGTTATTGGTGTCGGAGGAGCTGGTGCAGCTCTCATAGGACCAAGACCAGTGGGACCCTGGGTAGGTCTTGGAGGTGCTGGTCGCGGTGGAGGTTGTTTCGCCTTCTTTGGTGGTAGAGCTGGACTGGGACTTTCTGGTCGCGTTGGTGCATGAAGATTTGCAAAAGGATCATCGCCAAAGGGATCCTTACTTGCCTGAATATTATTATCGTCTTCGTCATCAGGCAACAAATAATATACAGTACTGATACGGATTATTAATAATAATTTATTTACCACAGGAGCTGCATCAGATCCTTGTGCCTTACCGGTACCATCGCCGAAAGGATCAAATGGATCGGTCGATCCTTTGGTAATACTACCTTCATTAAATGAAGCGAACGGATCGGTACCGAAACTACCCTGAAGAAAATAATAAAATATTTACCAGGTTAATGAAAATAGAACAATATTTCACCCTGAGCAGATGCAATCATTATTAAAAATAAAACTCACAGTGGTTGCCTGACTTTGGAAAACTCCACCAGAACCACTGAAGGGATCGGCACCTGTGGCGTTGAAGGCTTCCTTGGCTTGGTTGGAAGCAAATGGATCATGATCTCCAAATCCGGCGGATTCGCCGGTAAGTCCATTCGCACTAGCGAACGGATCGACGCCCTCGCTGTCGGCGTTTCCGTTAAGCTTCGTCGGAGAGCGTGTCTCCGCTGTATTAAATCTAGATGGAACAGATGGAGCTTTTATAAGTTAGATTGAACACAAATGGTACTATATATATGTTGCTGTAAATAAACTGACTCAGGGTCCTCGAATTCTGGATTGAATTGGAGACTAGTATCAGGAACGAGGGTGGCATCTCCGGCGGCTAATGCAGAATCATAAAGCGTGATAGCATCTGTCATCTGACGTTGCTGTTCCTCCAAATGAGTTATCTTAGCCTTCGCCTGACTAATTTGAAGTTGAGTATCCTGAAGGTTCTTTGTTAACTCATTCAGTTGATCTCTGCTCTTGTTCTGTTGCTGTTCCAATTGCTGTTCCTCCAGACGAAGACCTTCAAGTTCCTGACGTTTCGAATGAAGTTCTTCTTCTTGACTACGCAAGACTGATTCCTGTTCTTCAGCCTGCTGTCGAAGCTTGTCCACCTTATATAAACAGTCTCTATGAGCGTCAGACCAACTTTTCCACATATAATACCATATTTGACATATTGAATTTTATTAATAAGTTATTATTCCTCTCCCAATGATTTTTATTTTTTAAAATAGCTAAGCCATACAAATGCACAAAATTACATGCACAGTAATAGTATGTTGGACGCGGTTGATCCTATTTTACTCCATTGAGACTTTCCGAAAATCTGATATAATTATCACCTAAATAAATACAGTCTATAAACATAAAATAAAAGTCAAATATTAATCCAGGATCCAGCATACAACAAAGATTTTTAGCTTCTGATTTAGTTAATAATATACTGTGTCGTGGTTTTATTTACACAACAACAAAAAATTGCCATACACCAAACAGAATACATTGACCTAACAGTAGTCCCTTCGATTTACTCAGTTTAAATATTTGTGAAAAATGTGTGTAAGTTATTGTGAATACCTTATTTTGTTCCTCCCGTATCTCTTGCTCGACTTCACTCAATTCTTTATCTACATCAGCTCTCTACAAGCGAAACATAACAAAAAAAAAAACAACCAAAATAATTAAATAAGGGAAAAGAAAAAAAATAATAAAACTGAAAACTCAGCCATCAAAAATTAAATAATAGTTATTAACTCCGGTAGCAACTGATAATTAATGTTTCGCAAAAACACGCAAGTTACGCTATTCTTGGAATCCAACAAATAAGACTCACTGTATAAATTAAATTTGTTATAGTCCAAAAATTACTTTAATTTTGAATGACTTTGAGGCGTATAAAAACAAAAAAATGACTTCTGATAAAATGACTTACAAAGACCGGATGAAAATAAAATTAATTACGGTTGCAGCGCGCAACAAAGCCAAGCTGAACGTTCAAATGGAGTAATCATGAAAGCGAAAATGCAAATATAATTGGAGCTTTTAGGCAATCATACACCTACGTCAGTAACGAACAATTAATGTATAAAATCTTAATCGATGCTATACCTGGGCCTTCAAGTCATTCAGTCGTTTCTGCGCCTCGCCCTTTTGATTCTCCAATTGCTTCAAAGTTGCTGCCAATGTGTCCAACTCGCTCTGAAGGCTCTTGATCTCGCCATTCTTTATTTTAATATCAGCCTCCTTCTGGGCTATGTCTTGTTCCATACTGTGTCTCTCGCGTGCCAGTTCTGCGATATCCTTACTGATCATATCAAGTTCGGGATTCGAATATCCAGAAATATTATTGTTTTCCTGTGACAAAAACATTACAGTCAGTCTATAAGAAATCTGTCAAACGTTGCAAATTTGAATAATTATCGATGGAGATAATAAATATATTGCTATTGTGTCTGACAACTCATACAGTGTGGTCTGGTCTTGGGATACGAAAAACTCTACGGAAGAATTATGATAAATTACGGAAAAGAATTAACGAAGTCACCGGTGGAAAGAAAGGTAAATAATAACATAAAGATGTTTTGACGTAAGATCTTTTAATCGTTATTTTGAAGGAGATGAAATGTTTTTGGATGTAAATGATTTTGAATACCCTGGCAGTAATGAGACTCAACGTCAAATACACCGTGAACGATGGGATGAATATTATAAGTGTTTAAAAAATAAATATGCGAATTTGGGTGCTGAAAAGACAATGTTTCCCAGGGCAGTGGCGGTACTTGAAGGAACTGCTGTCATGTAATTATTGTTAACGAATATGAATTAATTGAGCAATTGACACAATTGGAACCTGCATGTGATTAATTCATAGGGGACTGCACGTGTGCAGAGAAGCCCAATACTTATAGTTATCAATATAACTAATTTCACTTTTATAACAACAGATTAGAGTGTCAGATCTGCATATCACCAATAATAATAAATCTGGATAAATCAACCTCATGGTATTTTGATCCTAATAATTTTAATATGGTCATATCGACTTCCGAAAGTATGGAACCAATTGAGACAACAGAACACATAATCATTTCATCAGATGATGCTGGCTTAAACATGTATAATATTAGGGTAAAAACTGAGATTTTTCTAAAACAATATTATGGATCACATATCTGTATGATTCAATTGTTTAGTCCTATCAGTCTGGTTCTTATTGGTGTGAGTTAGAGGGTACTGTTGATGCTCCCTATTACTTACATGTTGATAATGGTACGGAACCAGTACACACTGTACACAAATTTGAGGAAATAGCACCTGCAGTGGTACTGCCAGATTATAACATTAAAATATACTCGACATGGACATCCTGGACAGTGTGCTCTACCTGTGACGTTGTAGGAAAGAAAATTCGAAGTGGTTACTGTACCATTTCTTTATTGGAAAGTACTGCCCATCGATATATAGCTAATGAGAGTATACCAGGATTGCGAAATCAACGTGACGTAGCTTCAACCTCAGGTACATCAATAGTATGATATTTTAACATAGATAGTCGCTTGAACTTCTGTATGTGTATTCAATTGTTGCGATTTTATTTTGAAGTTGATCAAGAGAGAATTTCTCAAATAAATAGAATTTTGCCAATATTTGAGAATAAATTGCCGTGCAGGTCAAGATATACACCAAGTATTATTCAGGATATACCTGCGATTAAGAAACGCAAAACAGAAATTCACATGAGATTTTGTAAGGTGCGGTTATCTTTCTCATTACTCATAACACAGATAAAAAATCAATAATCATTGTAGCCTAGCTGTCCGAGAAATGTTGTATTTGAGGTCCGCGATCGATCAGGGCACGTCTTGGAGAGTGCAAATAATAGTGCTGGTATATACTCTGTGCTGCAGGGTTTACCGGAAGCTCCACCATCCGTGGAGCGAATTACAATTTACCGGAAGCATGACACTAAAACTATTCTTGAATGTCCAGGGTAAACTATGCACATTCGCATATTTAAAACCATTGAAAAAGATAACCGAATTCTATTTTCAGAAATCTGAACAGCAATGCTCCTGTAATTTGGAAAATTCGCGATAAATTTATGAAACCATCTACGATGAGAGAACTATCCAAAGGGAGAATCAGTATAGATGTCCGTGACCGAATAATTTTTGAAAAACTACGTTTTTCAGATGCAAATATTTACAGGTTGAACAGTTCAAAAAAAAGAACTTCTGAAAGAAGCTTATGTTCTTAAACGTAAAGACGGCACTATATGAAAATATGGATTTTTGTATATTGTATTTTCAGTTGCTGGCAAAATGGAGAACTAGCCGGTACTATCAGGCTCGAGGTCGCTCAGGAAATGGAAATAAAATTTGATCATCGTCTTTTCATGATCGGCAGCGTAGCAATACTCGGAGTATTCGTATTTGTATTTTGGAAGGCATTTAAAGGTCGTAAGCGTATTAGAAGCAAACGATAAAAGATCAATATATGTATTTTCAACTCACCACAACACCTTCTGTGAGTTTACGAAGCGACGGTGGCATCATGTCCGGGGATAAGACAGCGGGAGGTTCTATTCCGCGCAATTTCTGCTTGATCAGCCACATGGATAGAGCGAACTGCTCTTTGTTCAGTTTTCCACTCTGACAAATGTCGCAGAGACCCCTGAAGGACCATCGGGAAATGTCCCAAAAACAAATTATTAACTGCTAAAAAAAATCAAAATGAGTTTATTCGTGTATACCAAATTTGTGCCAGGACTGTTTGTGGGAGACCAGACTGTAGAAAGACATCTTTGATCTCAGCCCCAGATACAAATCCGTCCATGTCCATGTCTGCCTGGGAAAAGAGCTTATCTGCTGCTGCTTGATCCTCTGCCGATACTACCCATTGCTGTGCCACGGGTGGTTGCTGAATACATAAAACATCAGGATTGAAAGATGTTCTAAGTCGACTATTGGTAGGAAGATCAAAAAGTACCTTGGAAGTATTCAATCCTACAAGGCTATCGACTGAAGTCTTTGGTAGAGGTGGAATAGGTGGTGGTGCGATTGATTCATTGATGGGCACCTGATGAACTAGTGATTCTTTTCTTTTCCCTGGCGGCATCAGCTCTGGTGGCAACACACTGGGGATAGCATACTTTTCCAGGGCTTTATACACCAGATGCATTGCCTATAATGAATATATGTATTAGTAAAGTTTATACTAAACAGAGAAGCAGTGTTATATTTTAGAACTTACAACAACAAATTCGTGTCTATCCAGCATCCCATCCTTGTCCATATCCGCGAGATCCCAAATTTTACCTAGTGTGTCCAATGGCAACTTACTATCCATGAGGACACCCTTTACTTTATTGCCAGGAATATATCCATTAGCTGGTTGTAAGCTGTCGAAGAGTCTATCATACTTCACACGTTCTGCTGGTTTTATGGACCAGTCTCCACTACTGACAGATGTTATTACTGGTGCTGCAGGAGGGTTTGGCTTTTGTGGGATTTTTGGAATTTCACCCTAGATTCATAAATGGTTAGTATCATTATGAGATCAGTAATTCATACAAAAAATAAAGGAATGCCAAGGATATTTACCATTTTGGGAGGTGCTGTTTCTAGATTCAAATTGGCCATATTCAAATCCCAGCCTTCTTGTGCTAAAGCACAAAGTTTTAGCGCAACAAATAATCCTGCTTTATCAAGAGATCCTCTTGATTGAGGATCGGCCATGTCCCATATTTTACTAAGAATGACATCACTGAGTTGTGACTTTTTCAAAAACCTTGCAGCCTCCATGGCTCCAATGCGACCGTACCCATTAGGATCCACCTTAAGCACACCAAACATATGAAATATAAATGATTCTTTGTAATACAACTAGGTATGATGAACTGAAACAAACCTGGTGATAGTATGCTTCGTAGATGGCTCCATGGCGTCCAGCCACCTAAAGAAAAAAAAGTATAAGCTTTTAATCATTTTCCGAAAGTAATTATTCCAAAAGACCTGAAGAATCAGATAAATATCAATGATAAAATGACACGCCTCTCAGAAAATTATGAACTCTAGAAAATAAAGACACAGACCTCTAACATCTAGATTTGGAAAATAATTAGGTACAGGAAGAGGAGTGTTTATTACAAATATAAAACAAACTAAGATTACAATAAAATAAATAAAAACTATAATAAACAGTTTAGAAGTATTTGAAAGTCTATGAAATAAAGTTTCAATATCAAATAGAATCCTGCGAATAAGTCATCGAACTGAAACTCCCAAGTAGCTCGTCAAATCAAATCTACTTTAAAGGAAATTACACGCAAAAATCCAATCCATAATCATCACGATACAATCTAAGAATCTTCTCGGATAATTAAAATCGTAAACAGCACCCCAACCGTACCATTTTCACGATAAAATTGTAAAAAATCTAAAGGTACCTGCGTGGGTGACGGCAAGGCGGCCATACTTGCATCGAACACTGCTTTAACCAATCAGAAACACAATCGATAGCACGTCATTTTAACGATTTCAGGACGCATTTCCTAAACGAACTTTTATCTTTGCGGATGCCAATGATGAACTTCCTTCCTGGATAATTTTCTGATTCTCCTAATCGTATTTAACAAGCGAACAACGTTAATAGAGTGGACAAGTTAGATCAAGACGCTTCCAATGACTATTTCGAATTTGTTTTATGTGTGGGTTCTCAACGGCGTCAGATCACACTGATGGCACCTTGGGCTATGGCACACATATGATAGCGAATATGCACAATATCTATGCGTGTTTCTATAACTTGCATATGCATGTTCGATCAAGAGCCGGCAAAAAAACATTGCAGCTAACTTATAAGTCTTAATGGCAAGTTCTAAACATTATAGTATTAACTGGAAGACATAAAAATTGGATAGTAAGATGTGAATTCAAGTAGGCACAGAATATAGTAGTTAAAGATTTTATTTTAAAAATTATTTAGTTTCTTAGGTTAACGATGAGAGTCTTGGAAATGGGTTTTGCTTGGAAATTACAAGCTTTTTATGCTGGTGAGAGATGTACCCCTTTATCTTGCCGTCGTAGATAAGATTAGCGACAAGACACTCAGTTTCATCCATGTCTACATCCTCTACTCCATGCATGATCAATGCTGTTAATAGACTTTCTACAGGAATCTGATGTGTGTTCAGGGCTAAGTAGACTTTCTTGAACAAGTTTCTGTATGCAATGGGTTTAAGTTTTTCTACAATCAGGTAGATACCTGCACCCACAAAGAAGGTCTCGTGTTTTGACATAACTTTTTCCAGACTGCGTAAGTCACCTTTCCTCACAGCTTCAGCAAGTTCCCAAAACTCTGTCAACTCGTACTTTTCCAAGACAGTACTCTTTGGCATGTACCCTAAAAGCATCTTTGCTGGTACCAAATATGTTAAAATTAGACGTTTATTTTTCGTCGAACGTTTGTGACATCGCTCAAATGCATAAGTTAAGTATTCATCAGCTGGAATGATACAATAATTGTAATTAGGATTAAATAAAAGTTAAATAATAATAGAATTTATGTACTTAAGCATCCTTACCAGCTTTATAATCACCATCAAACATAGCCTTTCTGCCCACAAAGAACTTATAGGTGATTTGCTGTGCTAATGAAAATTGATCTTTCAAGGCAGAAGATTCGATAGCTCTTATAAGAGGTTTGCATAGATGTAGCTTATTGATCCTGAAGTAGACTTTTAGTAATTGATTTACTAGAGCTAGCATACCCCATCTCTTAGTATCATCCTCAGAACTCCGATTATCTGCAGCACAAACCCTAAAGCAGCCCATCAAACATTCTGTACATTTCTCTAGGACTTCACCAGGTTTAGGATTCTTTCCAGCTTTTGAATTCTCAGCACGTACAGCCAATAACCTTAACTCTAGACACATCCTATTCATCACAGGTAGCATCCAGTTCTCCTCTTTCTGTAGTTGGAGTATCTTGGTAAGCGACTGCACAGCTGAGCTTTGATATTCATATGCAGTGCATGGGTCACCTTTTGCAGCTGCATGTACAGTTCTACAAAAATAAAGATTTTGCCCCATTAATAAGGATAGGGAACCTTAGTACCATTGCCTTTATAATATTTTAAGAACAGTACTTCATATGATATAAGACCAGATCATCGAATGGTGATGGCAGATGTTCCATAGCTTTGGTTATGGCAGCCTCGGAACCCAATTGAGATATTGATATATGTGAATGCCGAAGAGATAACAGATCCTATACAACGAATACAGTTATATTTTCGTAAATAGCCATATTTTAATTAGCAACTGTTTATTTACCGCCAAAGTGTCACCGTCTTGGTTCAACCAGATGCGTCTCAGCTTTAATAAACACATAACAAATTATATTTAACTAACCAATTTAATAATAAACCTACTGCATATACAAAACGCCTAAAAATTATTATATAAAGATCAAACCTGCATAATATAAGAATCCATGGCTATATTTGAATAATGCTAAAGTGTCGTTTATACAGATAAAACAATCAGAATTAATAAAATCGTGCCGGTGTTTACGCAGGAGGCCATGACAGAAAAAATACAGCTGTTTCGTGTGCTCCAATCTTTTGAATCAGCCAATAGAATGTGTTCCCATAATGCATCACGCTTTGTGTTGAATTCAAAGACCTAAACAATCCTACGCTTAAGCTTTTATAAATAATATAGCGAATGTATGCAGTTAATCTAAATTTTATTCATTGTATTAAAAAAAAAACAGATTAATACTACGAATTTACGAAATGCTACATGCTAGCAGGGTACAGGTTCTTATATGTAGTGACATTTTTTAAGTTAAACTCGTACTAAAGACATACGCTGATGACGTCATATTTGTGACGCTGATCTAAACTGCGTAAATGTGATTTATTTATTTAACGAGCGTGTATGCATATAGGCTTAGTAGGCGCCTATAAGAAGGTAAGAAGTTGATAGTCTGAGCAAAATGTAGACTGATATCATTAGATTTGATCTAATGTGTGTGAGCACCCCATAATGGAATTATTACTACGCGTCTTGATAAAATCCTTTATCCTTATCTGAAAATGTTTTGATGCGATTTGATGGATAAAAAATTAAAAATAGAAACGTCTTCATCGGGAGCACAATGTCGGAAAGAAGGAATAAGGTCCAAGGTAAGAATTTAAATCTATTTTTCATATTATTTGGAAACTAATTATTTTTGTGTAGTAGCAGGACCTATGCTTGGAACAACAAATATCTCTGAGACTGCTGCCTATGCATATGCAGCCATATGTTCCATCATATTATCAGAACTGTTTCCTCAGGAATGTCATCAAGAATTTAGACAAAGCTATGTCAAAACAATATGCTCTCGATTGATGCTAAATGAAAGGGTTGAACCTGTCATGTTTATCTTAGCTCAGGGTAATAGCGGGCATACTGAAGATGCTTATGTCACTCTTCTCCTGGAAGATCCTACCATCAAAGGCAGAGCTGTTGCAATAGTACAGGATGTTGTACTGAATGCTCTTCGTAATGGTAAGAATTGATTGTTATTTTTCTACAAGTTTTTGAATATTTTAGTAGCTATTCAGGGTATTTTATAGCATAACTCTCATTTGTGTGTCCTATAAAACTCAGGGATATTGTCAGGTAATATTTCTGAGGTCCATAAAAAAATATTATTTTTAAGAATTGAATGCGGTTAGATTAAGTATATGACTTTTAGGAGAATATGATGCAAGACACAGAGTCCTCGCACGAAGAATAGCTGAACTTCTGAAGGTGCCTTTTGATTTGGTGGAACTCTATGAACTTTCCCTAGTTGAGAGGCTGAGTCAGAAAGTAGAGCCACAAACCGAGTACGTCCTATTAAAATAGGAACTACTAATTAAGATCTACCTCGTGACCTGGTACAATTATTTGGCTAAGGAAAGAACAGAAGGATGCTAAGCATCGCGAGAAGATCAAGAAGATTAAGCGATATGCATCGATTGGTCTTGCTACGATAACTGGTGGTACACTGATAGGAGTTACCGGAGGATTGGCAGCCCCTTTGATAGGAGTAGGTGTAGGAACTCTTCTAGGCGCTGCAGGAACAAGTGCTGCATTGGTATTGTCTACTACAGCTGGAGCAGCCATTCTAGGATCAGTATTTGGAGTTGCTGGAGCAGGGCTTGCAGGTATTCCCAAACATCTTTGATCCACTGACCTAACTTACAAGCAATCTTCGACCAGGATACAAAATGAATAAGCGTGTTGGAGAAGTTGAAGAGTTTGCTTTTGAGTCTCTAAGTCAATTTCCTGGTAATGAAAGACAATTACACATCGCCATAGCAGTCACAGGTTGGCTCAATGACCGTGAACCTGATAACGTAGTTAGACCTTGGAGATGCTTAGCTGTCTCCAGAGAACAGTATGCATTAAGATATGAGACCAAATATTTGATTGAGCTAGGAGAAGCTCTAAATTACATATTGAGCATGGCTATGTCAGCTGCTACTCAGGAGGCGCTGAAGTATACTGTCTTATCAAGTAAGTAATATCAGTATATTTATTTAAATTTTTACTTTATATTTTGAACTTGTTTCTGTTCAGCTCTGATGACTGCCATAGCCTGGCCAGCTGCTCTGCTTTCGATTTCATCTATCATAGACAATCCCTGGTCGGTCTGCTGTAGACGTAGTTCAGAAGTTGGTAAGCAGTTGGCTCATGTTCTCCTAACCAGAGAACATGGCAAGCGACCTGTAACCTTGATAGGATTCAGCCTTGGTGCACGAGTTGTATATTACTGTCTTCGAGAAATGGCACAGGTCGGTGGAGGTCAAGGCATCATCCAGGATGCTATTATGCTTGGTACACCAGTAACAAGTAACAAAGAACAGTGGGAGCTGTGCTCTACTATAGTGGCTGGTAGAATGGTTAATGGTTATTGCAGGTATGACATATTCCAGTACTTCCTGACCTATTATAACCCTATTCCTACGACTTTCAACATCAAATATTTTTTACATCCTTTTAATATCACAAGATCCATTTTTTATTAGCGGTGACTGGTTATTGAAGTTTCTATATCGAACATTGTCAATGGCGACTGGTGTTGCTGGTCTGGTACCAGTTCAATGCGACAAGGTCACAAATGTTGACCTCAGCGGCATTGTCCACGGCCATGGTGAATACTTGGAAAAATTACCAACTCTATTAAGGCACGTAGGGTTGAATACGAGAGATGTCGAAGTGCAGGATGATTCAACTTGCATGAAAAAATCGAGTTCAGAAGTGCCTTATACATCTGTCAGTCAAAATACTCTTAAGGTAATTAGTATAAGGATTGTATAAGTGATAAATACGAATAATGAATTAATAATTTGAATTATCGATTATATGCTACTTCTCTCATGCAGACGGATACCAATATAAAAATATCCCAGTCGGCTACGTGCCTGTCGTCCACAAAGTACCTAGAATCGAACAACCGTGTCAAGGATAGTGATGAGGAACAATCATAATTAATTAATATATGATAACAGTAATCAAAACAGCTTTTAATCGCGCTACAAACAGTGACAAGAAACTGAGGACCATGCAAACCGCCCAAAGCTTCTATTGACTAGAACAAATATTTATAATATGGCTTTAAACTTTCATGGAGTAAATAAAAACACGCTTGATTATATACAAAGTCGTACGGATAATCTATATTTATCATTATGTAGTACATAGGTAATTCTTAAAGATTGTTAATTACTTACTATGAGTAATTAATTGCGCGATACAAGCGTAATCTGCGCAACGTGATTGCACGTCGTACTTATAGTACATACGCAATGCGAAGACAAAATGGCGTGTTTATCATTAATTTTCTCTTTGTTTTATAACTACAATTGCGAAGGTGTTTTAACATACACCATGTTGCGTAAACTGAAAGAATAATTTTACGAGCAAACATTTCAAATTTACTTTGAAAACGTAATCGAGAATCAAAAGTATCGATTACAGGGAGAACCTAATCAAGGTTCCTGGCAAATATCCGGAGCCATCCGCATCTATAAAATTTTTAACATCACAATGTTCGTTCGTCACGCCAAATATAACTGCGTTAATTTCGTCAATGATTGCGATAAACATTAAAACCCGAAAACTGCCATCGTCTTTCCATATTTGCACCAATCCCGGACAATTCCTGTTTGAACACTTGAGGAAATCTTTGCATCAGCGCCTCCACCTCATTGGGCCTTATGCCCGGCTCCATTTTTTGCAAGTATGACCATACGTAGTCGACACTAGCGCCAAACGGATGAATGTGAAGAAAGGTAGCGATGAGTCCTTTAAAAATAAAAATTATTACACTAATTATACCATCAACAGTCTCGCTAACTATCAAATAATTAATATACCAATTAGTTTAGCGTCCTTTTGTGTAACCTGGACGCATCCCAATGATATCGCCAAGGGTTTTGGTGTCCTAGGCTCCTCATTTATATCGTCATCTTTGTCCAAGGTGATAATCTCACTTTCAGGTGGATCCTCCTTCCTAGTAGCGTTCAGCTTCATCATAAGATCCTTGATCTTATGATCATCCTGAGCCTGTTGCTTCCTCGACTGCATTAACTGTTCCTGCATACCTTTTAAAGTTTGCTGGAGCATCTTCATCTGCTTTTCCTTGGCATCTATATCGACTTTCGTCTCAGACTTCAGCAGGTCCACCTACTCAGTAGAAATGCTGGTATTAGCTGACAACTACTATATAACAACTACAGTTATAGTTCATAATTTAGAAAATACAAGAATTTCCTAGAAAAGTGAAATTTGTTGGAGGAACCGCTAAGCGATTACGCATTTCTCAGTGAATATTAAAAATCACCTCGTTTTTGTACGCTTCCAGCTGACATCGAAGACTGTCGTTTTCCTCTTTTAAAGTCTGCAACCGTTCTGCCTCGTCGTTGACATCCGAATGACATCGACCTTTTTTACGTTGAGGCTCTTCCTCGGAGTCTGAGACTTCCATCTCACCTTCCCCCTCCATCAAGGCTTCCTCCAGCTGAACGGCCTTGATTTCCTAAGACGGATTCGAACACGGATTGATCATGACTATTACTTTCATTGAACATGATATTTGTGACATCTTCACAATTACGCGGGCATGCAGTATAGTAGTAGTCTGTGCTGCGGTTCTCTCAATTACCGCTAGATATTATTGTCGAGTAGAAGATACATTTTAATATTAATTAAAACCGTTTACCTATAAACAGCCGAAGCGTGATCTTTCTGTTGCATAATTATATAAACTTAATTAACTACAGATAATTGTTTCTTGTTACCGTCGCAAGTTGATTTAATTGGCTTTACAATAATTATCTTAGTTACTCTTGATCTTATGCTTACCTCGAGTCTGCATGCTATTCGTAAAATTGACTGATAGAAATGAAAAAGAATAATATAATTTTCTTAACTCTTTACAATTTCTTCAAGTTTTTCCTGCTTGCTTGTTCAACTTGGACTGGATATATTTTATTGCTCTCAAGACGAATAAAAACAATTAAAAAAAAAAACAATAATGACCATTGTGATGAAGTCCAAAATTTTCATATATTCCGGAAATTACCTGCATATCCATCAGAAGTCCTTCAGTTTCAATCAGTCTTTCATTAGAATCACGAAGAATACAATTTAAGATAAATAAGACTTACATTTTAAATTTTTTGACGAATACATATGAAACTCAAAGTTCATTCAGTGTCCCAGGAATGTGATTACTTAGTAAACTTACCTGGCCTGCGACATTAGTGTCTAGTTGTACTGCAAGGTGCAAGGGCTATTTCATGCACATATAATGATCTCAACGTGCCGAAAGGCTGCATAGGTATCTATCTATCTATATACATAGACAAAGTTGTTTGATTTAGTCAAGATCAATCATGAAATGTCCACACGGTGCTACCAATTTTAAGGTGAGGACCATCCACAATGTTTGATGGTCTATCACCTTGTTCTTGTTCCTGCTTTTGTTCTCCACATAAATTCAAATTGCGAATACATACCGAGGACTGTTTCTTCCACATCTCGATGTTCTTCCTCTGGGCCTTGGTGAAGTGGTCCCAGACCTTCTTGTGGCTGGCGGCAGTGAACACGCGTTCGATCTGACTGACTGTCTTGGTGACACGGATGTCGCATGTCGCATACAAAAAACACAACAAATCCTCTGTTGTACACCCTGATTTTACGACACTGAGTTTTGTTTTTAATTCTCCATGTTTTCCATCTTGTAAGATCAATGACTGTGCTCCCTTTACTCCATTCTTTCCCTCTCTTTGATTTTTTGTTTGGCGATGCCAGCTTATACAACTCTCAATGTTAGATATACCATAGAAGAATATATTTGTGACCCTTAATAAGGTCAGTAGCCTTTGGTACAACCTAACCTAAATTATTAGTCACCCGGAGTCTGTGAACTGAAATAATTTTGAACCTGTGTCCTTTGATACGTGCATAAGTACCTCATACTGTACTAATGAATCCATGACCTTCCTTGATCTCAGAGAACGGAGCTCTTCAAACACATATGATTCTTATACTTATAATGGCCTACCAGCGAGAGATCCCACTCTCTAGAATCTCTGGCAACCCTCGAGAAGAATTCACCAGATCACAGGTTGACATTCCGTTCATCTACAGAACGTTTTGTCACTGGACCAGGTCACTTAAGGATGATGGCGCATATGAAATTTTGATACGATTCTTAATATCTGGTACCTGGTATTCTGGTTGTTATAGTCGATACCCTTCCTTCCTGGTATAGTAACATCTACAGGTATCCTGGTCCCATGACAGAACGTTTCTTCGTATTGTTCTAAGACCTCGACCTCAAGGTCAATATTATGCCCAACACCTTATACCATCTTATCAGCATCAGCAAACATGCAAGCTGGTCACGTAAACTATAACACTAGGAGTTCAATTATCTCTTATCGCAAACCGCATTTCCATTCGATGGCGGATGTCAAAGCCTAAAATCGAAAGTCAGCATTCTTCACCCACCTTGGAGACACGCTAGACTGTCATTCACAGCAAACTTCTACTTCGAGAAGGTCCAAGATCTTCAAGCAGTACGACCTCACTATCTGGTATGCATTCTATAGTATAGTCGCGGTAATATTGAGACAAGTATATAGGTTATTGCATAACCGGATCAGTATCTTTACCTAGCCTGGACCGTATCAGAGTGGGTTCATTACATTTTACCAAATAAAACCTCATAACCTCATTATGAAAAATGGTGCCTCAATTCGAGACACCTCCAGATCCAAACCAATCTGAACGAAGACAAACCGATTATGATTAATCATGCTCCACGTGAGCTTCTGTCTGTGAGTCTCTTCAGGAACTTTTCGCCATTCTGGACACGTCTGGACTGATTTCTCTTTTGTTTAGGTTCTAGATCACTTACCGGAGAAAAATAGCGCGTTATGTTTACGTATGTTTATGGTTCTGTTCTCAGTACTATTTATAATCCCGTACAAAACCGTACAACGTCCTATTTGATCGCACGATACGGTACGGTTCTGTCTAACCTTCTAAAGCTAAAATTATATCTAAAGATGGTCTGGTGAGGTATATACGTACATTGGATGAGAAGACCCTGCATTCTACCCTTCATAAGTTCCTTGGCCTTTTGAAGTTCCTCCTCGTATGATGCCTTCTCTGTGAGTAATCTGCGCACATGACTGTTTGTAGACTGGATCATAGAGTAGAAGGTATTCGCATTGCGTTTCGTACAGTCCCCGCGTTCCAGCCAAGTTACTACAACCTAGTCGAATGTACAACAGTCATATTAAAAAGTTTAGCAGAGTAAAGTGTTAAAATATACAAATGCTGAAAAGACTACTAACCTGGACAGCCTTCATGAACGTGTCATCTTGTTTGATCTTCTCGCAGATGTTGGATGCTTCGTGGTCTGTGTAGTGCACCACTGGTGGAGGACTCGACGGAGGTCTTTGTCTTTCTTTTTCAACCCTTTCTCGATGTCTCTGCTCTCGTTGTAACTGTCGTTGTCTACACTCCCACTCATACTGATCATCCCTAGCCTTATAATGTATTTCATTGGTAATTACACAAATTATATTATAGATCAATATCAATTAAAGTCACTTAAAAATACCTGAGCAAAGTCAACATGAAGTCTACCAGTATTCGCAGCATCCCCACTAGAACCTATTCGTACTCTGTAACCTGACAGATAAATAGCAGCATCCACACTTCCTTCCAGTACAAAGCGTATGTGACAGAAGTTTTTCTTGGATAATCTTAACGTGGTAATTTCTCCACAGCGTTCAAATATTTCCTGGATTATGGTTTCAGTGATGTTTTCGGGTAAACCTGATACAGTATAATTGAATAGAATGTTATGTATTTTTTGGAATGACAGAAAAAACTTATACCTCCTACGAATATGGTTCTACATCCTGGTGGCCTTTCCCGGGTGGTAGGTGGCGGTGCATTAGGATTAGGAGGAAATAGAGTACAGCTTTTGCAGTGAATAATCTCCTTGGTACCCTGAGGTGTAGAAGATGGTGGTGGAAGACCACCACTCATAATCTGTGCTGTAGCATCACTCATCATTTGTTCAGGTCCCAACATCTGAGCTCCTAGCATAGCACCATCATGAGGCATCATGCTCATCCCCATGTGTCCATATCCATGTCCCATGTGTGGACCCAAGGTCATATCACTCATCATGGGTCCCAAGGGACCCATTGGACCCATTCCCATCATAGGATAACCAACACCCATACCCCATACGCCTGTGGCAGGTTCCATCTGAGGTCCTCCTCCTAATCCAGGGGTACCATTCGTAGTGGTGCTTGGTGTCGAGGACATTTCATTGCTATTACTATTAACATGAGTATTGGTGGTGCTACTTGAGGTAGAATTAGCATTACTTCTATCTTCAGGTCTGCGATCATCACGCCTCTCGCATCTCTCACCACGCTCCTCGCGCCTTTCACGATCTCTTTCTCGTCTGTCGCTACGATCTCCTCTTGATCTTATAATAAAGAATGTAAAATAAGTCAGGAATTCTAGCGAGTAGCTTACATGGAAAACAAATTATGTGAAAAGTCAAACACTCTAACAAATAATAGTTACTACCTTCTGCCTCCATCTCTGCAAGTATCTCTAGCCTCCCTATTTTCTCGGTCTCTCCTGCCATCACTTTTCTCACTTCTACGATCAGTATTATCGTCTGAACTCTCACGAACCAATGGTGGCTGGTTCTTATTTGTACTGAACTCCAGGGGAGAATCATTCATACCAGGGAGAGGTATTGATGGTGGTAATGGTGGAAATCCTTGACTAGCTAATTCCATGAAACCTTGTGCTCCAGCAATAGGACCTAGTGGACCCATGGGGCCCATTCCTATTATAATAAACATTAATGATCAGATACTTTGTTGCTAGACAAATGGGGTTAGAATCAATGATATTCACCTATAGGTGGAATAGGAGCTGTGGGCATTCCAGCAAAATTGTAAGCCATTTTATTCCTAGAAGATTTAGGAATTAGTGCAAAATCCACGCAATCCGTATATAAGGTCCAGGGTGTTCCCTTTCTCCTATAAACAGAATTCACCCTGGCCTGAGAATATTTAACGACACTTGGAGAATATTGGTTTACAAAACCACTAAATATTATTAGCAGAATACACACTATCATACAACCATGAATTACACGCACATTTAGAATTGCACCCAACTCTTGCACCAACAATCACTAACACTAATAAATTAGCATTGGGTTTCGAAGCAAGGAAATAGACCAAGATTTAGTAAAGAGGGCCAAGCCTTATGGGACTTTGTGTCTGATAGCTAGCAGTCTATAACAGTCACACTGGGCCCAGGGGAAATGTTGGACCAGCATAGAAGTTCTGGAGGGGATTCAAATGCTATACATCTCTTATCAGCCATAAAATACACGGGGACTGCCCTCTTTACCAATATATCCCCGGTAGCAGATGCAACTTCCTTCCTTCCTTTCCTTTATAGGGTTATACGGTTATACCAGATACAAGATGAAACGTTTGAGATATCGAATTATTGGTGCTTAGAAGGATATCTTCTTTCAAATTTTCGATTTTATCTCCTTAACAAACAATTACCAGTTTAGGAGGGTATTAAGAAGTATCCGAGGTGTCCAGAGAATGCATCAACTTTTTAGCAAACCTTAGCATTGCAAAACCACATTTTCTTCCAGACTCAAAAGATCGTACTGATCGAATTTGAAATAGTTAGACTTACTCTCAATAGATCGCACTGCATTACTAAAAAAAAACAGTGACGGGCACAATAATTAACGAAAGTATACTTTATTCAATTGCAAAAAATTGGATATACTTTCCTTCTAATAGTAAGAAACGCGATTGGTTTTTTGTTGTCTGGCCAAGTTTTGCATTTTATAAGTAATGAAGATCTCGACTCGTATCCTGGGGAAAAATGTAATTTTGGTGCCCTATAAAGAGCATCATGTTTCTAAGTATGGTTTACTTATTCCTATTGTAGATATCAATTTCAGATTTTTAATTATAAAATACTTATTAAGAGTACTCTTTTAGATACCACGAATGGATGAAATCAAAGGAATTGCAATACTTAACAAGTTCTGAGCCATTAACGTTAGAAGAAGAATATGCGATGCAGAAAAGCTGGCATGATGCTGAGGATAGTAAGTTTTTCATATAAATGTACTATTAAAATGAATGGGCATAATTTCTTGTTTGTGCTTTTTAGAATGCACTTTCATTGTTCTGGATAAAGCAGCTTTTGAGAAAGATAAGAATGAGATAGGTACCTGCAGGAAATTAATTTTAATTACTTGAATTGATAATGATTAGATTTTTCCATAAGCAGTTTTAATTTATGTACCTCTAGAATCTATGATTGGAGATACAAATCTTTTTTTCAATGATGTCAAATACCCTCACACTGCAGAAGCTGAAATTATGATAGCGGAACCTATAGCTAGAGGCAGAAGAATGGGCTGGGAGGCTATGATACTAATGCTGCGTTATGGTACATTTAAAATTGTTTGTGAATATATATTTAATGTTAACAACCCGAGATAATATGAAACAATATGTTTAGGAATTGAAGAACTCAAAGTTAAACAGTTTTGCGTAAAAATTGCTATGGATAATGAAAGAAGTATTAACATGTTCAAGAAGTTAGGATTTATTGAGGTAATTTACAGATGTTTATAGTTAATTATGATGGGTTTTTCAAGTATAAAATTCCAGGTAGGAAGGTGTGATGTTTTCAAGGAAATTACCATGGAGAAAGAAGTTCAGAATGTCTGGTTAAAATGGCTTATTGGTGAAACACACGACTCTTTCAGAGACCAGGAGTATAAGTAATAAATGTACAGGTTTCTATTGTATATCATTGGTATTGTACTTTTTTATACATCCCTAATATTAGCTTGTCTATTTTACACATACAAACTTTTGAAACCTTTGTGAAAATTTAGAAATCTAATAATGAATAAAACTTACAGCCCAAGTGGCTTACACATTTAAATTGTTTCAAATTACAACTTCCTAATTGTTTAGATTGATATTCATTATTTTATTGAGAAAAAATCTGATAAGCCTCACTAAATTAAAAACAATATATTGACAAGACATCTCTGCTTTCATCTTAATAAAAATTCACACTTTTTCAAGCACTACCTAATTGATATATTAATCAGTTTCAGTTTTCAATCATTATACATTTTGTAGAGGATAAGACTATCTTGTTATCCAATTAAGACCATTCAGAAAATCAATCGTTAACAAAATTTAAGGTAAGAAAGATCATAAAATTAAATGCGAGTAAAGGATTACTTCTTATCTGATAACTAATGTGATTACAGCCTTGTTGAGAGAATTCTAAATGCGCATTAAAAAGTTCTGGAAAATAAAAAAAATCTTAGGTCTCAGTCCTTGAAGTAGTATGAGCTACATACTCTTTCTATTTAGAATTCAGATCACTAAAAGTCTCCCTCTATCCTCAACCAGATAATCAACTACTGATTGGAACTGATTGAGCTTGAGTGGTTTTATTTCACAAGACACAATACAATATTTGCCAGTATGGTTCAAGATAGTAATCTGTTTAGATTGCTGAAGGACATATTTTGTAAAGTTTGAAAATCCAGCTTTTGGAGCTTTCTGTAATAAAATTAAAGCAATTATAAATTCATTTTGGTACATATAAAGATACTATAGCACTTTCATTATTGATGTATTTGACATACTTTTCAATACAATTTAACTAACAAACAGTATAAATATTACAGTGTTTTAATATTATTGTGACGCATTGCGGCAAGACACAGCTGTTGCATCGACCGTTGTTTTACATAGTTGCAAGTGCATTGGTACGAAAATGCATGTAGATTCTGCTATTTACACGGTGTATATTTTGAGGTGGAGTACTAATCTTTACTTACAGATTATCGCGTGGAGTTCGAGATACCGATATTTAGAAAGATGATGAAAAGTCTGAGCAATCTTATTAGCAAAAGACCCCTGTTGGGTAATTCTGTCATTTATGGAATATTCTACACTGGTGCAGAATTCGTACAGCAAAGTTACAATAAAAAATTTCAAGTGAGCTTTAAAATATTGTTAAAGAAAGGAATTGAATTTTTTAAATTATTTGTCCCTTTTTATATATAGGTAGACAATGTTAAACATTCACTGTCTGTATCTAGTGTTACAAATACAAATTGTCCTCCAAACTGGTTATACAAACTTAATGAGTCTTTTGGATTTGTTCAAGATCCTAATAAAATTGGAGAGTTTGATTGGATTCAGTTACAGAGATATGGTATTTATGGATGTCTGTTAGCTGGTCCAATTCTTCATGGATGGTAAGTTCTTTTGCCTTTTGAAATTCATTTGATTTGATATCATATTTTCATGAAATTCATAGTTGAACACTATGCATGTCTATTACGTATCATGTTCATGATTCTCCTTTGTAATTTTAATGCACACAAATATGCTTTAATTAATATATTCTTTTTAATACCGATCCATTATGCTCTTATTGGCTCATGGTAAATGGGATTACACTTAAAAAATAATTGTATTAACTTATTCATTTTATGAAGACATAAATGCTCATTGCCAAAATCATTAATTCCTTACATGTAGTAGTGGGACTATCTCCTTCGTGGTGTTGTTTATATTCTAGCTTACGTTGAAAATGAGAATGAGCATTGCCAAAAGAGGATAAGCCACATAGAAAGTTAATCCTAATCAGCACGCTGGATTGGTGAACCTTGAACTTGGCTTTTTCCTTACAAATTGATAGTGCACAGTATTACCTGATATTGCAATTAAAACCTATCCAGCTTTCCTTCTGGGCTTCTGCTGATACGAACTGTGGCACTGATTATGGATTGCTAACACCAGTTTGTCTACATCTTCTAACTCATTCATCAGCTTGACAAATAAGTATTTTGGTATGGGAATCAACAAGGAACAATTCTCTCATCTTGATTGGCAGATAAAAAAATCCAATAAAATTATCTGTTCAGATAATTCCATTAATTAAGTCGTTTTTCCTGTACAGGTACAAATGGCTGGACTCCTATTATATAGGAATCACAAAGACGATCATCCTAAAGAAACTTTTCGCAGATCAATTTATCCTAACGCCACTGTTGATCATATTATTTTTCAGTAGTTAGTATTCTAACAGTACTTTCTCTAGCAGTTGATTAAAAATCTATTTAAAATTTTGAAAAACTCTTCACGAACCCCAATATTTATTCTAAAAACGGCATATTATGGTTATTTCAATATTTCTAATTCATAAATCTTCTATTTCAGGCATGAGTTTAATGGAAGGAAGAGATGATATTCTGCATGAATGCAAATTCAAATTTGCCAAGACTTTTCAAGTAAGTATCATATAAAACAAGAACAAATCAATGTCCATAAAGTTCTACTTGACCATTCACTTGATGACCTTCCCACTAGAATTCTAATATAAATGAATATAAAAAAATGTTCACAGACTTCGTGCATATACTGGATCCCGCTGCAGTTTGTAAATTTTCTCCTGATACCACCAGCATTACGTGTAGCATACGTTAGCGTAGCTGCATTCTGTTGGGTAAATATTCTCTGCTATCTGAAAAGAACGCCATTGTTGCCTGAACAAGACAACAAAGGAAAATAATTAAGGTGAAAGGTCTTGGAAAGAGAGACAAATTTCTTGAGAGCACTGTTAAAAAAAGTTTGACGAAATCGACGAAACTCAGTGAAAATAATCACAGTATATCTTAGGGATCACAGAGAATAACAAGATGGCCGCATCAGAAACGTTTATCAGATTCATTTTATTTCTAACAGATTAAATAACAATTTTTGTCAAGCTTGTAGTGTGCCATTATCTATATATTCATTTTCCCGCGCGATCACGTTTGTAGCGTGGCTGTGTGTATTTGTACATATAAATATATAGGTACTGTGGAATCGCCATAATGCTAATAAATCAATTCAGAAATACTTTTACGTGTTCTTTCTATTTGTTTCCCTTCAATTTCTACTTTTTTCTTTACGTTCTCATCTTCATTAGTCTGCTCTTCAACTGTAAACATGTATCCCGAAAACTAATCTCTTGAATGCGATGAGAAAAATACGAATTGACGAGTCGTCAAACAATTAATTATCGACAAGTTTATTCCTATTATATACACGCCCCAGATTAATTTTTCGAATTCACCTTTATGCTATCAAATTTATACAAATAATCATGTACAGTGTTCCTCACCACAGAAACAAAGAAAAATTTGGAACGTGCATGTACTAAAAATTCCAAAATTATGAGGATAATAATATTAGTAAATTATGAGCGTTACGATGATAATATACAAATTACATTCAGCAAATTTAATACGAATACAAATGACAGAATAACAGTGTCGTCCTTCCTTTTCATTCATTATATGACCCCGGATTGCTATAAACTTAGGCTGCAATTTATGTTCGTACAACTTTAAATAATTTCGACCGTATACGAAGCGATGTTACGGTATGAATAATGATTTAGCCGGGAATGATAGAAAAGTTATGAGAGTAACTATAGAATGTACATACACTAATGTTACATATAGTATAGAAGAATATATATACACACACACACAATCATTGCTAGTAATTAAACGTGAGTACAATTAGGATCAATTAAGAAATTATAACAAAATAAACCAGTCCATAGTGCATTTTGAGTTTCGTTTTTCCTCTTTTATTATCTTGCTATTAAAATATTAGCGATTCTCTTTGGGTGAGAAATTTACAGGGTGAGTCACTTAACTGAAATTGTTAAAATAGCTACAGCCATTATACGCATGTATAGTCGGGCCACGACATCAGTTCAACTTTAAGGGGCCGCATCCTTACAAACTGAAACGTAAATAAGTCCCAAAGTGGAACCGATGTGGCGGACTACAACTACAAAAAAAACAAAAAGAACATTTTTTTAGACACGATTGGAACATCATATTAACTAATACCGTATTTTATGCCTGAGGGCCTGATATGGTCGTTCTATATCCTCTATTTATAATCAACATCGTTTCCACCGCAAAGTCAATTATTAATTAAATTGTAACTACTTTCTTTAGCAGTCATATTTTTTAGGTCTAGCTGGAAAATAATTCTCAGAAGATCTGTTTGAAGTCACGTGCGCACACCCTGTATGACTTTCTTATGTTGTGACATTATTTTCAATATTATTTTTATTATTATCATAACCACTATATTTATTATACATACGTTCCGAAAATTCGCAAATAACGACAGAAGAAGATTGGAATTTTTATCGAATGCAAGAAAGAAAGAAGCGCGAAGAGCGAAAAATAAAATACTCAAATGGCCTCTTTAATTACGAGTTAAATAATTTTTTTTCTTGATCCCATCCTCATCTCATTTCATTCATTGTCAGCTTATACATTGTCATAGTTTACTAAATTTTAATTAACTTACCTTCGCACAATCTCCTTTCGTTACTCAAAGATTTTCGGATTAAAAAAAAAAGTTCTTAATATAGATCAGTCGTGTGACTCGGCAATAGAAAATATGGACCGTGTCTGTACTATCGAGATAAAAAAAATCTAAGACAAAAAAGCAAATGAACAACATATATGTATATTCTAGCATTATTTGCCACAAATTTGTATGAAGAACGAAAAAGTGAAAGCAGGAGAATAGAACAAAAAAAGAAAGAAAAAAAGATCGGACGCCCGAGAAAACAGCTTCTCATAGGCCTTAATCTTTTTTTTTTTGTTTATATTACATCAAATATACCAATTACAAAACATATCTAGCGTATGATAATGTTTTTGGTATGTATGTATGCATAACGATACGGTGAGTAGGGGATATTGGTGTCAGTTGAAACATGTATGAGTTATATCTCAATTCATTTTACCGATGACTTACAGAATTTTTCTAGTGAAATTTTGCTCACTTTTTTAAAAACAAATTGCAGCTATACAATTATAGTTTATTCACTACAAATATATGGTAGATTAAACGGCTATATTTCAATCGATGCCGTGTTTCAACTGACACCGGTATCCTCTACGTATCATCGTACCTAAAATATTTTTACTAATTTTCACAGATACATAAAATGAATGTGGCAAAACAAAGATTTTGCTTATATAAGGTTATTTGAGAGAAATGTACCACCTAAAGTGGCCTGTCCATCTAATTTCTATAGTAAAACCATCTTCAGGTAGTGCGTTTGTACTGAATAACCATACCTAATTTCAAATGCGAGGACAATATTCGAAAAAACGGCACGTACTTCCACTCATCCTGTACATATGTATACATGTATAAATATATACCTCGTTATATACTGTTTACAGCCAACCTCTCTTGATTATAATAATTAATTAGCCTATAATCAATATCAGCAATTAAAATCTATCCAAGAGGCCAATGGAATAAAGAATAATATTAACGACAAAATTGAAGTTAGGAAATGAAAGTATATATATGTATAATACAGGAACAGTTTTCCGAAGCATCTACTATGTATATGCTTGTATGCATGTACAGTAAACCGCGAAATATCGACAACAAAATTATTCTTTTTTTCCTCATTTTTAGTAATTCGGCAGGTTAATTCGCGATTATTGAACTTTTATTGCTATGTGAAATGTCTATCTGCCTGCCTATGTTTATTTAGACAATCTTAAACATGCAATTATTTTTTATCTTTTTTGAGCATTGTCCCGACATGAATAATCCTGGCGGGGACCTGTCCGGTCGCCTATTATGACCATTATCATCATAGTCACCACCATCACAACAACAACAATGAAAATAATAGTGAAAATTCGTGACTCGTGTAAAATTCGCTATTTCGTTTCTTTCTGATCTCTGAATCTCTTTCGTTTCTTCTGAAAAATGATCTCTTCCTGTTTCTATCTTACAGTTTCAACCACTTTTTGATTCGTAAACTACTTCGTATGTTTTACGTACCCATTTTTTATTTATTTATTTTATTTTTTCTTTCGCTTTTCCTCAGATTCTTGTAGCTTCCCATCATCATCTTTCTCTTTTTCATCATTAAAATATCAATTTTAAAAGGTATTTTGTTTGTGCATTTTCGAGCGAATTTATTCTTTTCTAGTTTCGCTGGACAACACGCAATCTCAGAAACCGTTATTCAAAAATTGTGTGCGATGTAATTTTTTACAAGGAAAATAAGAACGTAATAAGAAAGCCTCACTATACCATGCGGACTTGAAAAAATCTTAACCTAGTAAAGGTCTAGATTATCCTGCCGAGGTCGGTCTTGGCCTTGTTTTTGCTCTATTTTGATGCTTAACAGCATATTAGGTTAGGCGTCTATCAGGGGTCCAGCCCTACCTCGCCGAGGAGAAGATGTTCATAGTTCCACTAGCTGTGCGTTTCCTCACCAATCGCGCTGCAACTAAAATATTTTTAAAGTTGCATATAGTTCACACATAACAAAATTTATAAACGTAATTATATGAGGTATAGGATAAGTGAATACCAGCAGCATCCTGTGGTGTTAGAGGTTTGTCTATAACCTTTTGGATGACATTCATCCACTGAGCTCGATCGTCATCACTTTGTGCTGATAGAAGAAAACTTCTATCTGGGGTTTCCAACGTAAAAGAGAATCCTTGATCCTTTGCACCAGGTGGTACACCCGATTTCACTGCGAAGCCGTCCGAACTGTGACCCAGGAAGATTTCACCTTTTGGATGGGCGTCCTTAGAGTAATAAGAAGAATATAGAAAATCGAGACTATAAACTAGACCTACATGTATTCAAGTATGTATATATATATATACAGTAGTGCGCATTTGAAGTGGAACACTTCAATTTTTGTGTATCTCTACGAAACTATGACCGATTTAAATGAACTCCATCCCCTGCCGTTCGGCCATTTCGTATCCGATCGGGATAAAACTTTTACCATTCAAACGGGTCAGTTGTGAAATCCTCTACGATGCGCACTATATACAGTAGTGCGCAATTGAAGTGGAACACTTGCATTTTTGTGTATCTCTACGAAACTATGACCGATTTAAAAAAACCAAAGATACATTTTTTAGGAAATTTCCTTCCCGTTTGAATGGTAAAAGTTTTATCCCGATCGGATACGAAATGGCCGAACGGCAGGGGATTTGGTTTTTTTAAATCGGTCATAGTTTCGTAGAGATACACAAAAATGCAAGTGTTCCACTTCAATTGCGCACTACTGTATATAGTGCGCATCGTAGAGGATTTCACAACTGACCATAGGATCATCGTGGTACATCAGTTTACGACCATCTAAGGTAAACCATCTTTTTTTGTAAGCGTCTGAGTGCCTTGAACCGGTTTTCCAGAGATATCCTTCACGCGGAAAATCTCTTGTCAGCTGAGAGAGTAATTCTGACTCAGTTGCACCGGGATATGCTACTTGAAGACGATGTAGTTTCGCACATCTAATGGCAAGGTACCAATTTGTTATCACCTCCGCATCTTCGTGGTACACATAAATATGCCTTGTAGTGCCATCTTTCATGAATGAGATTTGCAGGCTGTTTTGTATTCCTGTTTTGGCAGGTGCAAAAGCTACGTTTAATTCAGATATCTTGAGGATGGCCTTTGGTTCCTTATACAAAAGAATAACAATTGAATTAGATTTCTTCAATTCTCTACGTTTATAATTATCCTATAAAACTTACTTTATTTTCTTTAACATGATACTTGAGTGTGTCTTCAGTTTCACTTAACACGAACTTCCGAGGATGATATCTGGAATCTTCTTTACCCCTCTTCATCAGAAAGCCTTCCATGAATCCTGAGACATAATGATTTTGTCTCTCAGGATGACAGAATTCTTCCCTTTCATATTTTGCTCTTATCCATTGCTCTACCAGAACTCTGCCCATCAATTAAAGATGTATTTGAATAATGACTGAGGTTTGATATTAGGGAATTTTATGGTAACTGACCACTTTCTACTTAAATATGCTTGTTACTAAATCTTAATGGGAAAAGTTCTAAAAAAAGTCTATACTTACTGTGGTGCATCCTGATTTGGTCTACGGTAACAAGAAGGTACCCGTTCCTCATATCGAAGACGTGCTGCAATATTTCCAACCTCCCGAACCCTTTTAACCTGAGAATCTTCCCATCTGTCTAACTTGAGATGCTTTACTTTGGATATATGAGCTCCCATAGATCGATGTACACCTGCACACCTTGTGCATACAAATATCCCAATATTGTACGATGCCCATTCTGGATCTGAAAAGATAGAGAAATCTTATAAACATGAACAAAACTCTAAGAGATGCTTATGTTAGCAGAAGAAAGGGTAAAACTGTGGAATACAATTCTTTCTTGAAGAGTTATATATTAAAAAAAAAACTAAACAATCCACAGCTAACTTCAAGACAGAGTCGTATTCTGTAGTTTAGCCAAAGGAAGTATATGTATGTATAGAGCAGGAAAACCACAGTTTTTAAAACCACAGATACCCCACTTTCAGTGTAACGAGAATACCAGGAAAACAAACTAGTAATAAAGTACATCAATCATTTCTGAGTAATATACATACATTAAACGTTTATGATACCATTACATTTAAGCTATACTAAATTGTAATCTGAAATCAGCCTATGCACCCTAGATGAAAAGCAAATTGCAGTTAGTCGAACCGAAGAAATAGTATTTTAATAGAGAACCTGGTAATATACGATAACTAGCATTTTATTTCAGCGTTATATTAACTTTTCTATTCATTGGTAGTTAAAACAATGTAGAAAAATATGCAAGAGATAAAAACCAAAGTAAGCAAGTATGATCATATAAATGCGAAATATTGACGTAGATGTTGCAAGAATAATACAATATGCCTTCCATCATCGAGATATAACTTGTCAATCATAAAATATTTTACTAACTTTTCGATCCGCAATCAGCGCACACGTTGTTTCCTGACTTTTTCAGGAGTTCCGCCAACAACTTCTCATTCGAGTCAGCCATCTTGAAACACTCGTATTAGTAGCTAAAGTTGAGAACGTTCTTACTTCCACCATAAAACTAATAAAATATATTCAGGCGCATACAAATTTCATTGAAACGAATGAATAAGTTGTCCCAAACGATGCTAGTCGTTGTTGCTACTAATCTTTTCCGATGTTACACTCAGCCCGGTTACACCGCAGTTCTTTTAGAAGTCCCACGTACGTGTGACCCCCACGCGGTTACTAAAGTAATGGCGACATCACACTTTAAAACAGCCATAAAATACATGCAACCATTCATTTGTCATTATTAAGGAAGGAACGGTGACCCTCTACCCCTTTCACCCGTCATTTAAACTCACTACGAGTACGAGTATAGATAAATACGTAAGTAGAAGATAGGTAATAGGAATCAGGGTTAACTAGGCATAATCAAGCAATTTAAATTAAAGAAACTTATCTGATTTTAATTAATGGTATAGTGGAGAGGTATCGTACATTTTGTATCCTATTTTTTGTGATTCAAAGAAGACCCTCCATCTCTTGCATGAACTGCATGTACGCATCATCCTTAGTTTTAGGTTGTGTAGGTCTAGGTTGTATTTCAGCTATTCTGTCTGTTAATCTGGGCATACTACTAAGCTTTTTCCTATCGTCGCGTTTCACTCTTAACGACGTCGGTAGGAACCTTGTCACGTCTGCTGCTAGATTTCTGATTTGTGGCTTAGCTTCTATTGTGGTGGCACTCTTGCCATCCTTATCCTTGCGATTAATTAACTGCGGGGCGGCTGAAAGCACATTCGGTGTCTTTGGCTGTGAACCTGCTGTAGACTGTGTCTGTATTTGAGGATTGGTCATGTTTGCAAGGCTGGTCATGTTCGGAATTTGCATTTGAGGTGGTGGCGGCATTCTGGGTATGCTAGGTGGACCTGGCCTAAGCATTCGCGGCATACCTGGCGGAGGACCTGCGCAAAACAAGATATTCATCAAGCTGTTCTAAGTGACAAAGAAAATAAACATCTATTCCCATTACCTGGCGGTAACCGCAGGCCTATTCTCGGAGGTGGTGGTGGAGGCATCCGGAGGTGCATTGGAGGTGGTGGAGGTCTGTATAGAAGAGGTGGTGGTGGCATTCCCATAGGTGGCATTGAGTGCTGTTGATGGGGATGTTGCTGGTGAGAGTGCTGAGAGTGCTGCTGATTATGTCCAGAGGATGTGTGGTCTGATGCACCAGGAGGTTCCAGATCTTCCTCTTCGGATTTCCCAGTATCATTATTACTATTCTTTCCAGTATTAGCTTTTGCATCGGCTTCAGCTTCCAGCAAGGATAATCGTGCATTAAGGTCCTGCGCACGTTCAGTTTCTCGTTTCTTATGCACCACTTCCATCTCCCGCATGAATTGATCAATATCCTGACCAGCCATAGCAAGCATCTTCTGCTGTAAGGTGGTAGGTTTCACTTTGGCAATGTCCCTGTCCTTTTCTTTATCCCTGTCTAGCTCCTTATCTTTGTTTTCAGCTTCTTGTCGAGCGTCTTCCTTATCGTCAGCAAATCTAATTGTCCTTGATTTCTGTGTCTGATCCTTGCTCTACAAACAACAGTTAAAGAATCATATTACAGCTATAGCTACATAGAATGAGCTGCAGGCATGCTACCTTATCTGTAGGTTCTTCATCTTCACTTGAAAAATCAGGTGGAGGATATGGAGGTACACCAGGAGGTTCCTTATTTGGTGCCAAAGTTGGCGTTGCAGTAGATGACGTATATGCACTTGTTTTCTTCAGAATGCTTGGTGGTATCGGAATGTTCATCAGAGGATGATGTTGAATATAATGAGGATGTGGTGGATACATAAGAGTTGGTGGTTGTGGCATTTCTGGTAAAGGAATCTGTGATGTAAGAGCCCCTGCAATTAAATACCGTAATAAGAACGAATTTACTTTATCCTAGTCAGACTTTATCAAACGAAACTAACCTGGATACATTCGAGAAATATCATTAACTGCTGAAGGCAGTGGGATCTCATCAACCTGTACTTGCTGTGCATGTCTTACAGCCTCGAAATATGTAACTAAATCAATTCTTCTTCGTTCATACTGTACAAGTTGTTCCTTCAGTTCGGACCACTTCTCCTGGTCATCTTTAGCCTAGCAATTAATGCATAATATTTGAAAATGGTATATTATACATTTAAGGTCTACAAGAACCTTACCAGTACAGAAATAAAGTAATAATTTATGAATATTGTACTTACATACATTTTTAAGACACGGTCCAGAGTCTCCTTTAATTTCTTTCTTTTATCTTTAAGAACTTTTTCATTCAAAGGTGGTGGCTGCATCACATTATATTCTAAAACCATATTTATGTCAATAAAGATACAAGCTTATAGAAACAACATATCTTAGAACATATTATGATGACAACAATATTACATAGTTTGCTTACTGACCCATTTGATCTATTTTTTCCATCTCTTCAATAATTTGTGCTGGATCTTTACCCTTAAGTACAGCAGCTCTTACTAGCTGACGCTGCTTCTTATTTTTCTTTAATTCCTTCTTCCTTGCCTCTTTTCCTGATAATACACAAAATAATAAATAGTAAAGAGTAGTATTAGAAAGATAATATTATCTAAACTTAACATAATTTAAAGTATAATAATGAATCTATGTAAAATTAATAAACATTTAGTAGTTTTAATGTATATACTATTACGGTTAGATTGAGTGACTTACTGGCTTGATCTGTGGGATTCATGTATTTTCCACTTTTCGTGGTATTTATGGATCGTCGACCCATGTTTCCTTTTTCTATGTAATGCTCCGAAAAGTAAAAAAGACTAGTAGTATCTTTATAATTCCTTCCTTTTTTAAGAAAACTTTATAATTCTACAAGTTACGCCGATGAACCTCCATCCTCATTACACTTGGTCAACCACAGTCAACCATTACTGTAATCATGTAGCGTATAAATGTGGTATGCCTTTCTTTTCCTTATGGCTGTATCCCCAATGGGGGACCTTCCTTCCTTCCTTTCCTTATGGCTGACTCCTCCAATGGGGGACATGTGCCAGTAACTGGTCCTAATAATCAAGGATTGGAAGTTCGACACTAGATGGCGATGTACTTTGCGAGACGGGCCCATTCAACTGAGCGTGAGGACCTACAGAGTTTATACACCGAATCCACCTACTATAAACTTGTTTACCATTTAGAGCAAAAGTGTATCATACGTTTTTGATATCTACCACGTTTTTATTCATCTTACAGAATGAGTTTTAACAAAGCGAAAGAGTATATAGAGGAGGGAGATACTGTTATATTATATTTGGGACCAAATAATATGCACTCTATCGATGTTGTGCATAAGATCATGAATAAGAAGGGTGAACTGACTGACAATGTTTTTCAAACAATTTATGGAGCACTCAAAGTACCATCACTTGTAGGTGAAAAATATGGTGCTAAAGTACAATTATCCAGAGGGTGGGCTTATGTTCTACAGCCTACATCAGAACTTTGGACTGTTACTCTTCCACATAGAACTCAAATAATTTATACACCAGATATAAGTCTGATCACATATTTGCTGGAATTAGTACCTGGTAGTATAGTTGTTGAAACAGGTTTGTAAAACTTTCAATATAACATTAATTTATATACTGTAATAGTAAATAGTACAATTCTTTGTTCTCTAATACAGGAACTGGTAGTGGGTCACTTTCTCATTCTTTGATTCGTATAATACAGCCCTTAGGACACCTATACACTTTTGATTTTCATGAACAACGTGCTTCTCTAGCATGTGCTGAATTTGAAAAACATGGACTAAGTGACTTTGTTACTGTTCAACATCGCGATGTTTGTGCTGATGGCTTTGGAGAGAAACTTAATAACAAGGCAGATGCGATTTTTCTAGACTTACCCCATCCTTGGTTAACCATAGATCATGCTGTAAAGACTCTAAAAAATTCAGGTATTTAATATTTATCACTAAGCTTACTCAACATTTAGTGTCGATTTAAAATAAAATGTATGTGCTTTGTCCTTTAAGGAGGAAAATTGTGCTCATTCTCTCCTTGCATTGAACAAGTACAGCGAACGTGTGAGAAGTTAACAGCTACTGGCTTCGTTGATCTGAAAACTTATGAATGCTTGGAGAAAGAATTATCAGTACAGTATAAGAGTCTTCCTGTATTAGATCTTGAATGTTTAAAACACAAGGTACGTTTATTCAAAATAAGTATTTATCGTAGCTATATAAAATTTATTACTGAGCCTTGTATTATTTTGCAGCGAATTAGTGAGGAAGCAATAGACAAAGTAGAAAAAAATGAAGAGGATCGACGGAAATACGAAAAAATTCTTACAGTAACACACTCATCCTCTTTACCTGGGCACACTGGCTTTATAACAATTGCGACACTACCACCTGTATTTGCAAGGATAATAAAAACAAGTTAACACCAGCCGTGATGTATAGTATAAGAAATAATTATATATTAACAATAAATTGTATAAGGAGAAATTTTTATTAGCTATCATTAACTGTTACAATCATAAGCAGTCTATAATTGGTAGTATTCAGTGCATAGTTTCATCAGACATCCAACATAAGGACTGACTACTTAATGAATTAATTATTATATGAGTAAACTCAACAACTGAGTGTTGAACGGATTGTTCGCTAAAATGTAAACATTCTTTGACGTAATACCACTTACGATGGTTGAATCTGTCAGAGAAAAATAAAAATATTTGAGACAGCAATAGAGGCCTTTTTCGAAATTTCATTGGTGTCTATTCGGCCTTATTTGGACTCCAAGTGAGATAATCTACCCTGGTAGCAGCTTGGTATTCCTTTACTAAGAAATCTACCACCTCTCTAGAATTATCCAACTCATCTAAACTCTCTTCAAACATTTTCTCCTTTCGAAATTGTTCCAGGAAAGCTTCTCGTTTGCGAAGCTTATCATACTGTTGCAAAGCACGGTCAAATAACTGAAAGAAATTTGTATAAAAATCACAACCTCTGGCAGTGATACCAATATTACCAATCTTCAAGTATGTTACAAATATTTACCGAGGATATGTTAGTGTGATTGGCTAACATTAAACCCGAAACCCGATGAGTGCTTTGTATATACGGAGACTTTCTTGAAAGCGCTACTTGGATACTTGCCGGTCCCCAAGGTATAAATTGTGCCAATTTTCTTTCTCGAATTCTTTGTAAAGATTTGTGAACTTGGGTTGGATCTACCTCACCCTGTATCAAATAATATTGTAATATTTTTTTTGTAACACGATACGGAAAGTTCACAGTTTGTGCACCATAAAGTAAGCACAAAATTATCCATTCTTGATGAGTTCAGAGTGTGCGGGAATCATAATATTCCCGCACGAAATTTCGCGCGGAATGTATAATGTACTATTATATTATTTTTTTTAAAAGAGGATAAGTTTACCTGTATTATATTTAAAATTGATATATAACAGTGGGCTGCATTTCTATCTAATGCAGTTGAAACCATCATGTTCTTTGGCTGTAGTAAGCGACGCATTACATCAAGTACTGAAGTTTTTCTTACAGAAGCTCCCTGTTTAAATTGCATTAAATTGTAATGTATATTGGTTCTTTTGTTATAGAATGAATTTTACGTTGTACTACCTCCTGGTCTGTTGTAAGAGGAGTATATCCCGTCATGAGAAAATGTAGTCGTGGTGTAGGAATTAGTGGAGCAATCAACCCCACTAAATCATTATTCATATATGAAGGATACCTTTATACAAATTATTATTTTACTGTATCTGAACAGTGGTTGTTTTTTATTTTATTTGAAGAAATACCTTAGAGTTGTTGTACTGACAGACATTATCGTGGAGACGAGCTTGTTAATTTGTGTGAAACTTGGATTTTGAATATGTAACCTGTCAGATGCGATCCTGTTCAAAGCTGTGTTATCAAGTACAACTACGCAATCTGCACATTGCGTTAATCTCTTTAAAGTTAACAGAGAATTATATGGCTGGACTACAACATCGCTGTAATTGAAGCCAATTTTCAATATATTTTATAACGTTATATAATAGAGCAAATTTTACCTTATTTCATCTTGGTTTGGAAAAACACTGTAGGTTTCAATCAATTTTTTTGGAAACCTATCAGCAAGAGATTCAAGCATAAAGGATCCCATTCCAGATCCTGTACCACCAGCTATGGAATGACAGAGCACAAAGCCCTGGAAGAATATATATAATTATTTTTGTTAACAATAATATGATACTAAAAAATTACCTCCAGACTGTCACTTCCATCAGCTTCTCTGTCCAAAATATCAAAAATTTCTTCCTGGAGTTTTTCACCTTGATGGTACCCTGATGCCCAATTGTTTCCAGCACCACCACCATGTTTTGACAGATAAATATTTTCTGGATTGTAGAGCTTGAGATACATAAAATGTTATTTTTGATGAATATTTTCTTTAGAAACTATTCAGCTCTCAAAGAGTATAAAATATTAAAAAACCAATTTAAGAAAATAATCAAACATATCATGCTCTAAATGATTATTACAATATTTTGAATGGTTTCAAGTTTTTACTTTTGAATAAGGAGAGTTCATAATAGTGTGAATGACTCGTGGCTCCAAATCAAGAAGCACAGCTCTTGGTATATAATGTTCATCATCAGATTGATAAAAGAAAACATCCTTTCTATCTGTTCCTTCTGTAGCATAATCCTCCAAGATTCCCTCAGGGCTAATGCCATGTTCCGCACAAAGTCTTTTCCAAAATTCAAAGCCAACTGAAAAAACATAACAAATATTTCCTGCACTCAGAAAATAATGGCACAATCCTGAAAAGCACTCTCTGATAATAATGCAAACGTAATAAGAGCATTGCAATAAAAGGGAGAAGATAATTTGTCCTTGCCAAAATTGGAATACATGTGTCATCAATTAATACCTAAAAGGAGTAATTTAAGCTAAACAGAACATTATGAATTGAATGTGTCAGACACTATTAGTATACTAAGCATAGTATTTGAATCGTTTAAAATGATTACACCATTTTAATGTTAATGCGTAAAAGATATTGGCTATTTTCATTAAAACATTTATCTCACTTTGATTGCCGCATTGGCCAAGTTGTAGTGTTATCATTTCACACGGCATCTTTCTTTTGAATTTAATTAGTCAATTATTTAAAGTTTTCCTCAATTGTAGTTTACTACAGCGTTTGAACGTAAATAACCGTGGAAGATACAAACGATACAAACTATATCTATATGCAACAGTCCTACGAATATATCACAACAGAAATTGCACAGCCATCTGTGAAGAAAAATTATAGTCTCATCAGTGATTTTTGTAGATAAAAGAAATAATTTTTGTTGTTAATTTATTGTTGTTGATTCATGATATACATAAATTGTTCTATGTATTTAATGAATATAATATATTAAAAAATAAAAATTCGTTAAATTATTATAGACACATAGCAGAACATAACATAGCAGGAAGAATATCAGTATCATTATACACTTTGTCATAATGAAGGTTTTTAAAAGAATGTTATTCACACACGTATTATTTGTTTATATAAAGTGTAACATAAACATAAACAAATTATTGTAAAACATGACCGGCTCGAATGTTTCGTATAAATCTAAGCGATGTGGCGCCACATGCTGAAGAATACATCTGTAGAGTTCATCAGTCGGTCTTGGCAATTTCATTCCCCCAGTTCTCTTGTCTGTGAAATTGTGTGGTAAGGTTTTGCATTTGTTTCTATATTTTTCTTGAATAAAGTAAGCGATGACAAGGAGGTGGTACAATTTTTATATATCTGTTAAAAATTTCGAATTACTTTAATTCTTTTATGATATAAGAAAAATTTGCGAATACGACTAATCTGTGTTCGGGCTGCCGATTACATAAAAGGAGCCATAGCCCCGCAAAATTGATTCCAGTTTCACTTCTCAATCTATCCTTTGAATGATCGATTATTATATGATACTATATCATTGAAATATTAATGTCGATTAGCAATAATCGATTTTGACATTGTCTACGATTGTCTTTTATTTCTATATGAAAATGTAGCAAATTCTTACTATTATATTACTATGGCAGTATATGATTGTATGAGGACCTGTTCAATATTTCATTATAGGAATGCATGTATAAAAATTGTGACATCAATTTAAGTTTTTAGATTATGTAATGTTTTAAATCTTTAATGATTTATATTTTGGAATGTTGGCTTTTAATTGCATGAAGATGTAAGTTGGTTCAAGCATAAAATTGTCATGGATGAATACTGCATCAAGTTACTGATAATTACTATATTTTTAAAATTATTTCAGGGACGGGCCATTCAATAAAAATGCTGCGCCAAACTACAAGTTTAGTGCCACTGGCTGTTGCACAGCAGCAACAGCAGCGTGGAATGGCCACCCTTAAATCAATTTCCATCCGATTGAAGTCTGTGAAAAATATTCAAAAAATCACTCAATCCATGAAGATGGTGTCTGCTGCTAAATACAACCGTGCTGAACGTGACTTGAAACAGGCCCGTCCCCTTGGTGAGGGTACGAAGATCTTTTATGAGAGTGCTGAGATCGCTCCTCCTGAAGATGCTCCGAAAAAGCTTGTTATTGCTGTAACTAGTGACCGTGGTCTTTGCGGAGCAGTTCACACTGGTGTCGCACGTAACATTCGTGATGCGTTACTGGCTAACCCAGCAGATCGTGAGAATACAAAGATCATTTGCATTGGGGAGAAGTCACGAGCTATTCTATCTCGCTTATTTGCCAACAATATTCTGTTTGTGGCATCTGAGGTTGGACGCAAGCCACCCACCTTCATTGATGCATCCAAGGTAGCTGCTGAAGTTCTGAACAGTGGGTATGTTCTATAAAAATCATCTATCTTTACAACATACGCAACAACTTTTTAATTGCAACTAAATCACATCTGTTATTGATTTCAATGAAACTGTTTTAGATACGATTTTGGATCTGGTCGCATCGTATACAATAAGTTCAAGTCGGTAGTGTCTTACAATGTCGATAATCTTCCACTGTATGAAAAAGGTGCCGTTTCAAAGGCTCCTAAGCTCTCAGTCTACGACTCCTTGGACGAAGAAGTTATACAAAGTTACTTGGAGTTTTCCCTGACGTCGTTGCTCTTCTACTCGATGAAAGAAGGAGCATGCAGTGAACAGTCCAGCAGAATGACTGCTATGGACAACGCCAGTAAGAATGCTGGAGAAATGATTGACAAGCTCACTTTGACTTTTAACCGTACTCGCCAGGCCGTCATCACCAGGGAGCTCATCGAAATCATCTCTGGAGCAGCTGCTCTTGATTAAATTGATTATTGGTAGCATCTGATAGCTTATGTATCCTTCGTTATACAAGAGACGTTCGAATCATTATGGCTTAATGTGATCGCAATGCATCTGACTTGTTAGGAGGTACAAAGTTATATTCAATTTGTTTAATTTTATCATAGAAAAAACAGTATCACCATTAAAAATCGACTGTATGAAAGCGATGCGTTTCCTGGAAACAATTTTAACTTCCTTTTTTTTTTAGTTATATAGTTTGCTCGGGATAAAAGCGAACAAATTGAATATAATTTTACGTTAAGTGGTTCGCAATAAAGTGGATCGGTATTGTACTGAACATTTTGTGTTGTTATTACTAAATTTTATTATTGAATATACATAAAAATTCATATTGTCAGGTGAATAAATATAAACGTCCGGTTATACAAGATTTCTGTACGAACATGAAAAGTTTTGTTACAATTAGGAAAACAGTTCTATAAAACTATAGTTGAACAATAGAAAATCAACAAATTGATAGAGGTCCATAGTTCTGGAGCTGTCACAAACAAGGAAGAACTTCATTGTGTCTCTGGTGTAAAAAATTATGTAAGCATAGAAGTGGTTTGTAAAGAAGAAATAGAAGTATGGTATCACTAAAAGTAATAAAGAATCGTATCAGAACAGTGAGTAATACGAAGAAAATAACGCAAACAATGCGACTAGTTTCCGCAGCTAAATATTCAAGAGCAGAGCGTGAATTATCTAGTGCAAGACCTATTGGACGAGGAGCAACTGAATTCTTTGAACTGGCCGGAATTCATACACCCGCAAAAGTTGACCCACAATTGATAGTAGCTCTTACCGGTGATCGTGGTCTTTGTGGAGGAATCCATTCTGGTATTGCTAAGGCAATTGATTTGAGTCTTAAATCCAATTCAGCATTGCAATCTGAGACGAAAATAATTTGTGTTGGTGAGAAGAATCGAATGATCCTGTCGCGAATGTATCCAAACAACATCATTTGGGTAGCTAACAATGTTGGTAAGACATCAATGACTTTCCATGATGCTGGAGCCATTGGAGAGCAAATAAAAAATAGTATAGACGAGTATAACATTGCTCGCACTGCTATTTATTACAACAAGTGTGTACTTTTGTATTACATATTGATTTTATCTAGATTATTGATTGCGATTTTATTCGCAGATTTGTAAATGCTAGTAGTTATATGGTGAGCACCAGTAGATTTTATGATCGGTCCAGTCTTTATGCAGCTGAGAAGTTTTTGTTGTACGACATGATCGAGGAGGAGATTGTTGATTGCTGGTTGGAATTTGCAATAGTTGCTATTGTATTTTGGATACTGAAAGAGAGTTCGGCCAGTGAACATTCAGCAAGAATGACATCAATGGAGAGTGCTACAAAAAATGCTGCAGAAATGATACAACAATTGACACTTGCATACAATCGTACAAGACAAACCGTCATCACCAATGAACTTATTGAGATTATCTCTGGAGCTAGTGCTATTAATAAGAATTAACATTTTTTTAGAAGATTAAAACAGTTGGAATACTTTCAACAAAAAAGTATCTCGAGTTTCTGCACAGCAACCAAGATAGGTAATAATTAAATGTTTTTTGTAAATAGACCAACATGATTCACAATCTAAATTATAATTATTATTTCTTAATCGTCTTGTCCCTGGGTGTCTGCGTTATTATTAGAAAAAAGTAAGGGTATTAAAGTTGAAAGTACTTTTTTTTTAATTAATCGACGATTGTGAATTTTTACACTTTCCCATCGACTCACCCACACTTTAAGTACATGTACAAATTTAAGCATATCTTTGTCACAATAATAATGGTAATAATAATATAATTATTATAATAGTAATGATAGTATTATATGCTAGTAACATTATAAGACACATTTATTTCTTCAAGCGTACGCATGTGAAACCGTGAAACGCAACTATCCTTTTTCTATATACACATGACTTTTCCTTCTTTCCACCGTGAAGAGATTCACAATCTGCGTCAATGGATATAAGTGAACTCAAACAATTGTTACTCGTTTAACTTCAATCTTTTGAAGAGATTATATTTGTCATATTTGACATGAGCCACAGGCTTACTGTAATTTCCGTTATCTAGGACATGTCATCGTATCTGTCTATACCCGAATAAATCCAAAGTTTAGGAACGAATTTTCCTAAGGAAAGCACGCGTTTTTCTTATGGTTGGAAAATGGAGAGGCCTGTTGGTGTTTATTATGTATTTTTATAATACGTATAACAAATGGAGCTACATTCTTGCAAAACTGTTAAGTACTGCGTTTCTAGCAGGCACGTTGTTTTAAAAAATGATATCACGCTGTCGATATGATTATATTTTCGTGTCAATATTTAAAAGCAACGGAAAGACAAATGATTATTACACTAAGAAAAAAAAAGACAACAAATTTAATGTATATTAGGAGTTCCAGTTTTAGCCAGGTGCTTGTCTAGGCAAATCTAACATTCAGTACTTTGCACTATTTAATTTATTTTTATTCACAACACCTTATCACGACTGTATGCCTTTTTTTCATGGTAGTCGTACATTTCTTCATCTCGGAACCACGAATTTTCATTATGAACACGTGTTAAGAGCTGCTTTCAAATTATCCCTGAATGATGGTGGTGATCATAGAACTCGACGTATCACAACTATGCGACAAGGGTTCACCATTCTGCGTCGCCATTTGCTTTTTGGAACACATAATCCTTACCACTTAGGTTCATTATACCATCCTTTAGATAAAATTTCCACTTGTTCCGGCTCCTCGTTATCTGGAACGAATTAAAAACAAAAAGAAACTTAGAAAATTTTGCATTTTTATTGGGCAATCAAGTGATGATTAAATTATTATTAACCTTGTCGTACTGGCAAACAACAACATTATCTGTATCAAACAAATCAGTGGGATCATCATCCGTAACGTCATCTTCCGAATTTAATGGTTCCTAAAAAAAATAGTAGAGGTTACAGATAAAAGTAGTATAACATTGTCATTGAATGATCGCGCAACTGGTAATAAATGGACGAACACCGAATAAATTGCGGAATTAAATAATGAAGTTAAATGTCATGTTTGTATTGAAAATACCTCTTCACGTGCTGCGGCTTCGTCATTCTCATCCTCCTCCTTATCATCCATATCCTCATCATCATCGTCATTATCTTCTTCTTCTTCTTCTTCTTCGTCATCAGACGAATCGCCCAGCGCTCCATCCAATTGTGCTATATTGCCCTGTTGCTGAGAATTATGCATGTGATCTCTATTATTATGTTATTTTCCATTAACAATTTTACACGTATTATTACTAAGATAAATGTGAATAAGCAAGAGTAGTTTCCAAATCATACCAACCTGATTCTGAATCGGCCTTTGAGCAACAACATTGTTCGTATTTTGTGTCACAACCTGCACAGGTTGATTTACTTGGATAGGCGTTAATGCCTGACCTTGTAAAGTCACATTCACATGTTGCTGCAATAATGTCGATGCTAAATTTGCAGGTAGCCCCATCGCTGCCGTGATAACTGGTCCCGTTAGAATTGTATGTAATTGGTTACCTATAAAAAGAAAGCCGTTATAGTTTTAAAGAGACAAAGTGAATTATTCATGCTCATATGTACATATATTTGAGTGTAAAGCTGTTATATTACCTTGAATAGCAGAAGCAGGAACTTGTATAGTTAGTACACGTTGCTCCCCACCGGAAACACTAGCTTGTGCAGGTAATGTGATTTGTATGGGAACTTGTCGTTCGAATCCTGCTGCTGGTGTAGCAACAACTTGTTGTACCGGAACAGGAGTTTGTTGTTGCACTGGTATACCAGCAGGTTGTGCATGGGTCTGTTGCTGTTGCTGTTGCTGTTGCTGTTGCTGCTGCGGCTGTGGTTGTGGAGGAAGTTGAACTGGTTGTTGCTGTTGTTGTACAACTGTTCCAGGTGTTTGTTGTACAAAATGATTTCCTATTGCTCCAGCTGATAAATGATAAGATAAATTACTTTCCAATAGGCAGTTTAAGAAAATTATGAGGCTGAACACAATTTTCCATTTAGAGATTTAAAATTGCCATCGTACCTTTGTTTGCAGGTGCAATTTTGTGTGCATTCATTTGAGGTGGTTGGGGTTCTGGAGGATCGGAATTTAGTTCTACAGCTTTACTAGACATTAACTTTGTTTCCCAAATTTGTTTGAGCTCCTGCAGCACTTGTTCATCCACTCCCTCATCCAAAAAAGATTCTCGTACGCCAGCAATAACATCTTCTATTACTGTATTGTACAATTTCAACTGAAAGTCAAATATATAATATAAAATATCAAAACTTTTTTAATGATTTCCTTTTCTCATCCTTTTTAACAACAATACATTTGTGCACTCTTAAGTCATTCAACATTATCTACATGGTACAGTCACTATACATGTAGTTTTCCATAAGAAAAATATATGTATGTTTATATATACATAACAGCAACATAAATTTAACAAGTTCATTTCTATATCAATCTTTACCTGGAATAAGAATAAAGAATAATAAATGTCAGGAGCCATAAGACAGTCAATTATTCTGTGAAGAAGTTGAGAAATCTTGATAAGTATGATATTTATGATGCCCAATAACCGATCTTCATTGTCAATTAATATGATTGAGATAATATCAAAACTACATCAACTAATTTTTATATCATAGATCCAATATACGATAAGATTCATATTACTGATGAAATGTGAAACATTGTCGAAAGTTCAAAAGGTCGCTGTGACATACTCCGGCAGACGTTACGCGACACCCATGCAATTGTAAAAAAATCTCAGGGTATAGAATTCATTTATCAAGGTAACCATGACAGGTTGTTCGAATGAACTACAACGACACAAGTACGCTGCATTATTAAAATCATTCTTGAATAACTCATATTTGAGTTTTCATTTTACTCACCACACTGGTTTGACTGAGGGCCATTGCCGGATGATTCGTATTGTCAATCGGATGAAAAACAATACCAATAATCCCAAATCAACGTTGCCCCTCAGAACCCGAACTGCTGCGTTGCACGAGCTCTTTTATACTTTCTCAACAGCTCCCATTCCACCGAGTGGTCTTACAACTGTAGTCAACAGAAGATACTACGCTGTATTTTTTTAGCGACAGTTGATCGTGTTATGATGCTCAATATTTCACGAGAAATAAAAATGTCTATTTGTGACTTCGTTGCGTAGCTGTAAATTTCGATAACCGAAATTTTCCTCTTGACTTGCACAAATTTTAGCAGGAAGTAGCCACTATATTTACGTCGGTAAGGTAGACGACGACGGGAAATGATACGTGTCAGTTTGTTTATATGGTACTTTTATTTGCAAATATAGGTATGTTTCGTTACCTAACTTTCTACACTTTTCAAAAAGTGCAAATTTTTATTGGACGATATTTTTTTTAAGTAACCAATGAGAATCTGCATTTTTTGAAAAGTGTATAAAGTGTAGGTAATAAGAGAACAGATATAATGACTAGCCATTTTTTTTTTATAAAGAACCGATAATATTGTATTTCAAATCCTGTTTTTCTTTTTTTTTTAATTAAATTTTGTGAAGCACTAATATATATTTTCTTCTTGTCCCTTGCCTTTAAACTTCAGAAGGAGTTATTACTGTATATTATACTTTGTTTATATTGTTTATAAATTATTTTTTATTATTCTAGAATAATATTATAATCTTATATTATAATCTTATATTATAATCTTTTGTACTAGAATATTACATATTTACCGCGTTGACGTTAAACATTTAGTGATATTTATTGTTATTTACAATTTAACTAGAATCTAGGAATATTTCATGTTTTCATGGTCTCGGATACTGCGCCCAGAACCAGTCTGTAAGCGTCGGTCGACGATATTTAAATTGAAAATACGTTAATTCTTCATTTTCGCGTACTAATGTAGTCGTGTGATAGTTGCCAGTCGTTCCTTCGTTACATATTTCGTCTTATTTTGTAGCAGACGCGTATCATTCAGCGCAACAATTTGTGAGTTTATTACAGAAGATATAAGAAATCTAGTTCATGTCTATAATTTTCGATCTTGTTATGACTGTCATGCTCTGAAATCATTTAAGGAGGTGCTGTCGAAACTACCCACTTGAATTTTCACGTCTGAAACTTTTATACGTTATAAATTAAACAATTCTGAATTCAATTACAACATTTGAAGGTCGGTTACCGACGAAAATATTAAGAAAAGTAATATTAAAAACGAAATTTGATATATGGAGTGAAAGGACACTTTGAATGAGAAAGTAACATATTTAAAGTGAATTTTGTAGCCAAAATCGGTATACTACGGATTCGTGAATTCTTCAGGATTCGATATATACCATAAAGAAGTGACCTTACCGGGTGTTTCAAAGAGTAATTGCAAATTAAATTGCCGGATCTCCATCGATTTACCGGGAGAGACCTAATGAACAAATAAATAAAAGTTAAATGAGAGTATGATTTTTAAATATATTTGTACAAATGAACTAATTTTACAAAGATAAACACCTGCAAACAAATTTCTATACTTAATGTGAATAATTTCGTAGAAAGTCCAGTTTGTTTTAATCAATTTATGGAATGGATTTGATAGTTGATTAGTTGACTAGCATGCATTGACAGGACCTCCTTAACTGATGTTTTCATTTGTATCAAAATATATTGGAAACACAACCTAGTTTAACATATAATCACAACCCTATTTAATATCTTGTCAACATCTTGTTCTTGATTTAAAACTGTGTCTGTCACTTGATTAATTTCTTAGAGTAAATCATTGGTTATTGGTATTCTGGTTCTACCAACAAAATTCTCTGAGCAGTGAATTTTATTTGACATAATTTTTTTTGCTGTTTTAGATCTCTATTATGAGTGAGATGAAGAACAATAATGTACCATCAAGTTTGAAACAATGTGTATCATTGATTGTAAAACGTTCCATTGAATTCACACATTGCATGAATCAGAATTATCAAGAGCATATTGCTTTCTTAGAAGCACTTATAGATCAAATACCACAATCGCTTCATGGGCCATTAATAGCAAAGACTCCAAAAACAGTACGGAAGAAAGAAGTACGGCGCATTGAAACGATTCCGGAAAATGATATTACACAGAATGAACCTGTTCATTCAACAAGTTTGATAAAAGATGAAACAAGTGATAAGAAAGTTGTTGAAGACATTAGACCTGGTAGAAGTAAAAGAAAGGCATCACAGAAAGCTGCAGATAATATTAAGAAACAACAATCTCTCACTTTAAGTACTAAATTGCGTAGATTATCCAATGGAGATATTGTTGAAAAATCACCAAAGGTTTGTTTATAATTACAGTATATTTTACAAAATTTAAGTCTATCAATGTTAAGGATTCTAAAATTTTTTTACTCAGTTTATATATCTAACTGCTCCAAAAATCGACTATCAAATTACTAATTTGCACTTAATTTTTAATTCCTTAGAAAGTACGAGAAAGTCAATCAAAGAGACGGAAAGCGTCCAACAGTTCTGACGAGGAGAAGAGTAGGCCATCAAAGTATACAAAAATTGATACTACAGTTACTCTTACAAGACTTTCTGAAAAGGATACACTGCAGGATGAAATTCCCACGAGGAGAATTACACGATCATCAAATAAACGAAAGCAAGTTAAATCTGTGGCACCTCAACATTCAAATAAAGAATTGAATAAAGAAAATACCATCAGGCATGACAATCAATTTGACGAAACAATCGACAAGACTGGTGGGAATGATACCCTAGAACCCTCAATGTATGAAGATGCAATCAGTAAGCTTGTTGTTCCTGTAATGAATTCAACAATGAATAATATAAACACCACAATGACATTAGATAAACGCGCTATGAATGCAACGGTTATCCTGGAACCACTACCTCAGAAGTATCTTAATGAAACAGTAACACTTGACAAACAAGCAACGAGCAATTCAAACTCTAGAAAGGGTAGTACCAACAGCAGTATTGTACAAGCAAAAGCTAAGGTTCATTCAAATTCGCCATACCATTCCTCAAAGGCTACAGCACCTTTAGCAAGTACCCTGCAGGACAGGATGAAAGTAATACAGAATGATCTAGCTGATAAGGAGTTGGAGGCTCTACTGACGGATGACGAGTCGTCGCCAGAAGCTAGGGTTATCCCAGAACGAAAATCGAAAACGCCACAGAAGACAAGAAAGCGTAGAAAGCCAAAGAAAGATGAGCATTCGTATTTGTCCAGTGACGATGATGGGGATGTAGACGAGATAGCGAGTACACCTCCAAAGACTGCATTGCGTGAAATTAATCACGTGAAACCCAATAAACCGAATGCATATAAGCCAACAGCATTGTTTAGTCCCTACGCTAAGGATTCTGTAAAGCAGCGTGTTAATGCATTCGAGCAAGCTGGTAAAATAGACTGCCCATCCGTAGATGTTGAAGTGCCCATTAGAACTACGAGAACAAAAACCAGAGCTATGGCTGCTGCAGAAAATGTTAAAATTCAAGCGAATGTTAGCAAAACTGTCGCACAAAAATTAGCGCGCAAGTCTCTGGCTAAAGCTAAACGGATTTCATTGGTGAAGCAGTTGAAGCTTAACGAGGAATCCAAAGAAGTGAGTATGAGGAAGGGAGTGCATGTACAAGGATTCCATCCTGTATCAATTAAGAACACATGATTGATTTACAAAAATATTCTGCTTTCAATTTAAAAACCCTCAATGCACTTTGAAAATGCAATGCAAAAATTAGCGCATTTAAAATTTATCTTATTTCAAGGATGCAAATCTGGTTCTTATTTAACAATGTTTTCTTTCTAGAATCAGAATGCGAATGTGGCCCAGAAAATTAGTAAATTATTGACCGTCACTGAAAAATCAAACTACAAGCAACAGTTGAAGGCGAATTCGGCCCAAAAGAGTCGTATACCGCGTACTCCTAATAACACACAGCCTCTTTCTAGTGTAAGCTTATATTTCTCTTAACATTAATCTTAATTTTTCTACATTAATATGTTGCTTTCCAGTTGTAACAAGTCCCAATAACCTGTATAAACAAAATACAACTAAAGAGATTCCTTTTTTTCAGTATTCAAGAACTTTAACAGCTCCACGTGCACGCATAGTCAGTAATGTGGAAACATTTATACAACAATCTAGAACAGCGCAGAAAATAACGTCAACTGAGCGATTAGAAGAGAATTATCGAAGAGCGCATGAAGATGATGCACGGCGAAAACGAGAGGAAACACTGAAGGCAATGTCAGAGGAAAAAAGGAGGTGATTAATAATTAATAACATGCTTACTTAGTTTGAATCTAACATCGTATTTTATTCTTTTATCAAAATGTATTACTATCCCTATTAACATAGAAAACGCGAGGAAAAGGAACTTAAAAACAAATTGGCAAGGGAGGCAAAGGAGAAGCGTGAACAGGAAAAGAGATTGAAAGCGGAACGTGAAAGAGAAGAGAAAGCAAAACTGGCATTAGAAATGCAGGAGAAGCAAAAGGAGGAAGCAGAAAAGAAGAGAATAGCCCAAATGGAACGGGCTATGGTGAGAGTTTAAGAAAAACAAGTTACATTCTTCAACAGCGTCATCGCTTAAAATAGTTTATGTTCAATGCTTGTGCTTTTAGCAAAAGAAGGAGGAAAAGCGTAAATACGAGGAGCAACAGCGATTAAAACGTCTTCGCGAACAGGAAGAAGAAGAACGTTTAGTTGCTGAACAAAAACGACGAGAATTTGAAGCCGAAAGACGAAGATTAGCAGAAGCCAGAGCTCAGGCAGCGGAAGCAGCCAAATTAAGAGCACTGAAGGTACATATGCCTTCCTTACAGTTATTTAATGTCTTTAGACTTTGTTTAACGAGAATGTATAATTTTCAGGCAAAGGAGGCACAAAATCCAACATCTTATATCTTGGACAGTGAGCCTGACGAAGATAGTTCAGATAATGAACATCGGCCTAAATATCCAATTCCATATTGGGCCAGAGGTAGCTATAACATTTGTAGTTTAGTTATTAATCCCCTTCATACTTTCCATATGATATTAAACAAAAAATGTGCATTTGCTTTCTTTTAGCGGACGTTCGTAAAACACATTTAGCAATGCAACATTTCGTACCGATAAGTGGTGTGCGCGACTTCTTTGGCAGTAAGGAATGCACACCAGATCTACGAGCAATGTTCAACGGTATCAACAGGAACCGGTTGGTACGTACGTCAAGTGCTATCTGGAAGACCCCACCACGATTCTCAATGATGAGTAGAACTATTAATAATGACGATGATCAAGAATAATTCTGATCGGAGCAGTGTTTAAAGTTCATTCTAGATAGATATATTATATATATACATTCATATGGAATTTGCTACCAACTTTGTATAAACGGTAGGATAAATTTCTTCAGTGAACAGCCCAGTAGTTACTATCAGAGATGAAGTAGCGTCCAATGATTCTGATAATGGCATTGATTGTTACGATTTTTCATTTTAGTACTGAATAACATTAAATTTTGTATGTCTAGCGTTAAGTTTTATGTATCGTCTATTTAGTCATGCCAACATGCCTAAATCATTTATTAAAATGAACTTGCAACTCTGCTTAGATCTGATTGATACTGTCGCGTGTATCCGGTAAAAATAGGTTATGTTTGTTTCTGAAATTATCGCAATGGATGTTTCCGCGTATAACCATTTTGTCTAACGTGTATTGCTGTATTAATTATTATGCCAGTATTATTCCTTTTTGAATAAAAATGTTTCTACTATTCATCAAGCATGATGTTTATGAGTTCAAGTAGGAAAACTGTCTTCGGATGGCCTTTTGATATATTATAAATTTAATTGATTGCCGATATTGCTGTTTTCTTAATTTTGTTTTTGGTGTTATACGCAGTCACTGTTATCAACGTTCTTATGATAATTATGGTAAAATTATTATATTATGTTTTTGTACTATGATAGAATTTTGTGAAAACCATTGTGGACTTTTATGAACTGCGACGAGTATGAATAATATGGAGTACAGAAATTTGACGAGACCCGTTACGTTGGCATAACACAAATAGTGTAAAACATTTGATTATTTTAATAATGCCTGTATAATATTATTTCTCTGGAAAATTCATATATATAGTGAAAAGTCTTGAAGAATTAATGAAATCAGTGCTTTATAATTAAAGTGTACGGCGATTAGCAAGTACCTTCGGTACACAAGTTTAAAACAAAAATATTCTGAGATATGTAATAAATCATTTATAAAATCAATAAATGTATCACGTTATGGGGAAACAAATAATTTCATCCGTCAAACTCCAATCCGATGACATGACTTACAAAGCTTCTACGCGTCAGACCGGAATGTTAATAGATAGAAATATTAAAGGATAGTGGTAATTCGCCTTTGAATATTATTCTTTTAGGATACAAAAATAACAGGACAACGTAAAAGAAGAAAATATATAATGAATAATCGCTATCGTCTCGTATGCTTATTCGAAATACTCAACCAATATGTCAATATTAATTCGTATTCATTTACTTTCTAAACAGTTAAGTTGTTTCACAATTAGACTGTTACTTACAACGATATCTATTGGTAAATACTAACAATCAACTGCGCTGGCCCAATTGCATACGTTTAGAGTAATATCAAAAACCAACGGGGAAGGGCATTCTAGTAAATATCCTATGTACCCGCCAGATGCCAGACCTACGCACTGCCAAAATTTTCTGCAGTCAGTTTCATGTCTGTGATAGCCATTTTCAGTGCAGACTGTATCAGATATAATGTAACTTTTAGTGGTAGTACTTGATGCAACGGTTGTAACTTCTTCAGAAGCGACATTCGATGTTGATGGTGAAGTGGTGAATTTATCGATATCATTACTCGAAGTAGTAGTGACCTCATTGGTATTAGCAATTGAAGTGTTATCTTCAACATCATCTTCACTTAAATCATTATCTATATCTGAATCATCGTGTTCACTGCTATTATTATGCTCCTCGTCATTTTCACTGTCTTCGTCCTGCCCGTTATCTTCATTGATTGCATCCGGGTCTGAAGTAGTTTCGGAAGGCTTAAAAGATTAATTATAACGAATGGGAAGGATTATTATTTAATGACTCATTGTTATTTCTAGTTTTTCATTTATCTTATTCTATTTCAGGTCTCGTCAAATTTCAGACTTACCGTCATGAAGATGTTGTAAGCAGTTTTGATTAAAGGGAACTTTGTGTCATGACATATTGCACGAAAATCATCAGTCTCTGCGCTCCAAAACATAACGCCGGCTAATTCCCGCGCTATGATGTATTTACTCTTGATTGATATACTTTGCTCGTTATCATATCCTATCCACTGATTACCATAGTAGGCATAAGGTACTTTCTGTTCTTCGAACCAGACAGTCGTCCATTTCTCAGTTAAATTCTTTTCGCACAGTTCATTATATCCTTGAGAATGAAATGATTGTTAGTTAGCGTTAATTTTGATATCGTTGTTTAATTATTTTACCAATGAATCCAGCTTCTCGAGTATATGGACCTGCTATGCCTGGACCGTTTGCTGTACTTCCAGGTGTATTGTTCTCTGGATTGGCTAGAGTAAATGTTCTGCCATACAGTGGAATTCCCAATACTATTTTTTTAGGATCTGCACCATTATTCAGCCAATAGGTGACACACGCTTCCTGGATGAATTATGAATGATCAAAATCATTATTTGAACTTCACTTTTATACTTTATAACTTTACTTGATTGCTTTCAGGATATTTTGAATACTCGCCTACTTTCAATGTTACTTACTGCATTAAGCTGCAATTGTGCTGCTGTTGTTTCATGACTGGCAGGGTACAAAGGTGCATTTATTCCAACCACACGGTTCCAAGAGCCATTCAAATCATACGTCATCAGACTAATAAAATCCACATATCTAAAATGATGGAGTAAAATTATAAGTTCATAAGTTTCTTCATAGACGATATAGTACCATGATTAAGCTCAAAAGTTTTGGATAAATATATGAAAATCTTACTTTGACACTTTAGGAATGTCATATGATTGACTGGCAATTGACTCTACAGCACCAACTGAAGCAGTTAAAATATATCCATCGTCTTCAAAAGCTTCCTTTAATTCTTGCAGTAAATAGACATAGTTCTCCACATCGGTACTTATACCTGAAGTTATTTATCAAAAATATATAGTGTTGTCTAGCCAAACACAGTATATAAACATTTGTCTAGATAGTACCTCCACGTTGTGCAGGATACTCCCAATTGACGTCCAAACCATCAAAGTTATACGTTTTAAGGAAAGTAACAACATTTTTTACAAAAGTTGCACGAGTCGTTGGATCGGTTACCATTGGACTGAAAGTAGTACTGCCATGGTTCCAACCACCAATGCTTATCATTACCTTAGTACTTGGTGAGATCTCTTTGAGGCCTACGAATTTTCGAAAGCCATCTGCAATAAACAGGTGTAAATTCAATTCATAAAATATATGTTTATCATCAGATTGAACCTATTTTTCATGTTTTGCAATACCTTTACCACCACCTTCTGGTAAGTCGGCCCATGGATCGAATATGGTTATCCAACCATTAGCAGAAACTCCAATAAAAGCATAGATTATGTGGGTGCATATTGTGGGATCCATATGCTCTGGATCAAATAGCCCATTGCCTGGTCTATATACAGCCCAGCTTCCATAGTAGCACAGTATGACATGTCCAACGGCAGTTGACAATAAAAGTGAGACAAGTGCGATGTTCACAATGAAGTACATATTTTTCTGTATAAAAAGATAAAGTGATGTTAACATCGATAAGGATAACAAGTGATTTTATTTTGGAATCATTAAAAAATGAAGATAATACAATTAATACACAGGAAACAATATAAATTAAAGATAAATGATACAATTACAATTAACTTACTTTGTATTGGTATAATTTAAAAAGTACTCCACGATTCTGGCACGTATATTTCAAATAGATTTAGCAAATTCGCCTTATGTACTTAACGCGTGAAATACCAAATCTATACTAGTGATTAGATGAAAGAAAATGTTCAAGTATATGAGATTGATACGAGCGCGAAAATTTAGCAGTCCTGATCGCAGTTAAATGATATAAACATTATCGCACTTCTCAATAAATAATTAATGCGCGATAAGACGTCAATTCGGAACAAGTTGAATCATCTGTGATAAGAGTTTTAATTTTTAATACTTCATTTTTTTAGGTCTGTCCATCGTGCCAATTATTGCGTGCTGATTTGATTTTATATTTAAAAATACTGTATACGAGAAGAAAAATAATTGATATTGATATTTGTATTTATCAGTATTGTTACGACGGCGAGCTATACATAATTATAAATTCCTGTAGGATTATGGGCTGATGCGATATTATTCATTAATTAACTTACTGACAATGGGAAAGTGACTTTAATGAATAAATGCGTTTTAATGGACGATTAGATTCGTGGTATATTTTAAAATAAATTTAACTATCTTCTTTATTTTATTTTTTCCACGATTATGATATATAATCATGATCGATTTGGCCACATGTTGTTTGGCGAATACTGCGTGTAACATCGTTTATATTATCTAACATCTGGTATTTTACGTGCAAATATTTTACACACGTCTCAAAGTTGGTTAAATTTAGGCTCTTTAAAACGAGATATAGCCATCATTATTATTTTTAGTAATTAAGTATCTTACAATATTTGAATAGCGTTCATCGTTAAATGAAACCTAGACCGTTATCTTCTCTGGGATTATATCTCTCACACGGAATTTTTTTGGTTTGACGTAGTGCCTTACATCAATTTGTTTTAAGCGGTCATCTCATTTCTACAGACTTACATTTAATTTTTCAGTTTTCCGCTCATGTTTTATTCACAAACGAATAACAGAATTTAATCAATGCCTTTTCGGTTGTTTGTCGTATTTCAATCACTTCATTTTCAAGTCTTATACTTGTATACATTCTTTTCATTTCTTTTAGCTTTACCTTTGATTATAAAATATCAGACGTACCTTTTACCGGTGCAGGTAATTTTCTCGACTTAAGGGGACTCCGAACCCGTGATTGCCAATAACTGTACCGTTTTTGTGCATGTCCAATAGATCTTTCGCATTTAAGTGGCCGAGATGTTCGTGCCAAGTTAGTAATTTCGATTGTTTTTCCTCTGTGGAAGACACACAGTTCTCTTCTTGACTTGCTTCTTCTGAATAGTACAAATCTTTATGACGATACGCCTTCAATATAATTTGTCCGTTTTGATCTTCCACAGTCATTTTTTTTTGGCTAAAAATAACCTTGTCTCCTATGTCAGTGATTTTTTCAACAGAAATTAGGTTCGTTCTCATGTTAGGTACATACAGTGTATTCTTAAAGTGCACATTATTCTCGAATCCTTCGTTTGCACCTTTAAATATTACAGCACCTTCTGCTTTGATTTTAGTCGATGAGTTGCTTGCAACAAATAGTCTTTTATGTTCTAATTTCTCAGAATCGTCGAAATTTTGGCGATTTCTGCATAAACGGAATGTACATCCACTATCGAGGCACCATTTTTTTCTTTTTTCCGCAACTTCTGCACTTGTAAGAGCTACAGTGAGTAACTTTAATATTCGGACACTATGAGATTTTTACTATATTACGTTATAACTTTATTTCTAACAAAAAAAAAAATGATTAAGGATTATGATGACGTATACGTTTAATAAACAATAGCGTAAATTTTATTCACATAACTTGCAACAGTTGTTGAATAACACGGTTTACATAAAACAGTGTCCGATTTCCACGTTACTTTAATATTCGGACACTTTCAGAAACTACATATGTCTAACAAAAAAAAATGATTAAGGATTATGATGACGTATACGTTTAATAAACAATAGCGTAAATTTTATTCACATAACTTGCAACAGTTGTTGAATAACACGGTTTACATAAAACAGTGTCCGATTTCCACGTTACTTTAATATTCGGACACTTTCAGAAACTACATATGCACATACTTATTTTTCGGCTGGTTTTTGTTACAATACTTGTTTTAATATTTTGTTGGGTAGCCATCCTGCTTTATCACTTCTTGCAAACGCTGCTGCATATTATTAATAATTTTTTTTAAATATTCAGTACTCAAACTGTTCCATTCTTCTTTTAAACGATTTTTTAACATTTCTCTGGAAGATTGGTGTTTTTCGAATTCGGCGCTCTAGTTCATCCCACACATTTTAAATGGGGTTAAGGTCAGGTGATGGAGGTGGTGGTTGCAAAACTTTTGGGCAATTGTACAGCAAATATTCCTGCACAATGCGTGCCTTATGTTTCGGGTCATTATCCTGGTAGAACTTGAACGTATTTAAAATCCCCATTTTTGTAGCACTTCTCCGTAAATTGTTTTCAATATGGTCATGTGCAAATTTTTGTCCATAATATTTTCGATGAAAACTAATTCGCCCGGTCCGAAAGTCGAAATACAGCCCCAGACCAAACACTGCCACCTCCGTGCTTTACGCTCGGCCGAAGATTTTTAAATTTAAACTCTTCCTTTTTTTTCCGCCACACCATCCTTCATCCATCTGACCCAAAAATATTAAATTTACTTTCGTCAAAAAAGATGACATCATTCCACCATGTTTCATCCTTCAAAATAAATTCTTTGGCATAATTCAGTCTCTTCTTTCGATTCTTTTCACTCACGTACGGTTTCTTTCTAGCCACTCTTCCATT